GCCACTAGGAATTGTATCACACAAACTTAGAAGATAAAAGCCTGTGGGTTGACCCGCTGGCACAGCCTTTGGTAGTGTTTAACACCACTGCTGCTCAGTCATTCTGATACAATTGAAATAATTGTCCCTCTGTTTTTGATGCTTCTTCCATTCTGTTTGTCTGGTCCCCTCCTCCATGAAGCTGCCCTTGAAACAAAATTTAAGATTCTTCTAAATCTGCTGATTCCTGACCTGTAGACCTGAGGAACTTCACATGGTCTTGAAAAGAACAGAATTGCAGTGATCCAGTGATGCAAGGAATGACATAGGTGAACCTCAGGAACCCATATGCTTTGGAACCATAAGATGATCAGATAATTTAAGTTGTAAGGAATTAAAGAGTATTTTCTAGTGCAAATTTTAATATGCAAGACCTCACGATTCCTTAAGTTTCCTTTCGTATAAGAAATGAATCCAGGGGAAAAAATACGTTCACATGTATTAAAAATTCTTTTTTAGTTTATTTTACAGCTGGAATGTGCTATGGATTTAGCATGTCTCAGAGGGAATACTTTTTCTTGAGTCTTACTGAACAAATGAAATTCTACTCTGGCTCATTAACAGAGAAATCAAAATAAATGGCAATAATCCAGGTATCTGCTGTAGTCCTATTTCAGAATGTTGTTTATATTAACATAGTTAGTATGTAAAATGTTTGGGTTTTAATTACAGCTTAAGAAAGTAAACGATTTTAAAGAGAGGTGAGTGAAGTCATCTGGGTAAACATGCCAATCTGAAGAACAGCTCCCCACATTAAGCTAAGAAGCATTGTAAGGAAGAATTCATTAGAGATTTTTCTTTCTTTTTTTCATTAGCCTTTGCTCATTTTCAGTGCAAGTGAAGTGTTCAGTATTGGACACTGATTATTCCTATTGCATTCTCCAAAGCTGCTGTGCAGTGTTGATTTTCTCCTACAGTCAAGGCCAACAAAGCTCAGAAAAGTAGGATTTGCTCCTGGACACTCTGTTGAAGTCAAAGCTTAAATGGACATATCTGTTTCTAGAGAAGTTTATTTGGTCCAGATTTCTAGTTCCTTTAGTGCTGTTAAATCACTCATTAAAAAAAAAAAAAAAAAGGTTTCTTTGGGTATGTTGAGTTCCTATGTTCCCTTAATTCAGTGTGGAGCATATTTGAAGAATTTGTAGTAGCTTGGCTCGTGCAGGTCCAGCTCTGGCAGCCTTCACCCCTTGCACATTGAGCTTCCTCCCCCAGAAGCTGCTGTCAGAGTGGGGCTGAACTGTTGGGGACTTGCTCAGGCTCAGGGTCTCCAGTGAGCACAGTGGTGTCAGAGCAATTCAGTACTTGTTCCCACTAGAAATCTGCCTCATAAAATACCTTTCAAACACTTATATTTCTTGAAAGTGAATTAGTGTTTCATATTTCAAGTGGGCTGACCTTTTGTTGCCATGAACTAATGACAGAGTTAGTGGGGTATTTAGGCTCTACAGCCTTCTAGCCAGATGATATTAATTGCTTGACTGAGCACCATGGTTCTTGTTGAGTGATGTTTAAATGGTCTTCCCACAATCACCTGGTAATTCTTATCTACAAAGATTCAGCCCAGTGCTCTATTCACTGAGCCATATAACTTTTCATTATTTGCTCGTTAATTTTGCCAGATTTTAGGTACTTGGTCTGGAATTTTCCTTCCTTAGTGTTTGCCTGAAGCAATAAGTGTTCCTCTTTCCAGAAACAAAATCAAGAACCATGGATTGCTTTTCCTGTACAGATTTTCAATTAATAAAATAATTATTACAAAACCAGTGAGAAAATCATCTGCTATGGGATGTGGGGACTTGAAATTCAGGAAAGAATCCTCCTTGAGTCATGGATATATTTTCATTCCTCTGCCCCCCACCTAGATACTTTCAGGTTATAATTTTTCCCTCAATATTCCAGTTGTTATGAGTTCCAAACCACTGTGTGCAGAATTTGATCACTAAATACTTTACAGTTTTTTTCTGCTGTATTTGCACTGTTTCAGAGCTGTGATGTGGAAGGAATTTGGGGAGATGCTGATAAATAGACACTAGAGACTGTGCAGTGTCTCTATTACCGATAGTTCTGTTCCTTTTGGTGCCAAAGAAGATTGCCATGAAAACTGGACAGGAACTGGATGTGAGGAAAGAGGATACAGTTGTCCTGTATCATGGGAATAGGAAGCCAGTGGAACAGGACTATGAGTAAATATGACTGCTGAGGACTGAAATGGGATAAAAAACAAGACTAGTTAAATTTGGACAAACAGGGAGATGAGGACTTGGGAGTGAAGAAGGTGAGAGAGGAAGGAGGAAATAGAAAGGGAGGAAATTTGGGGTTGATAGGCTGTGAAGGACTGGACATGGCAGCTTTTGAGGTGAGTCTAGGAGAGATAGGAATAAAAATGCAGTTGAGATGGAAGTAGAAGGAACCAGTCCATACAGTGAAGAAACTGGGATAAGCTGGGGAAGGTGGAGTGAATGTGAAGAGAGAATACCATATTCCCTTTAGAACAGGAGATAGATCAGCTCTGATCACTAAAGAGAGTAAACAAATGTCATTCAAAAGAAAACCTGGAACAAAACTCATCATTCTAATGCAATCTAGCTGCTGCAGGCTCAGTAAAGATGCAGGGTTTAAGACATGATTTTTTTCCCATAATCACCACCTTCACATTCTTCAGTTACATTGGCAATAATTACTCCTGTTCCTTGTTCCCCTCTGGGGCTCATAATTTTCCTTCCCTTTGCTTATAGCCTACTCTGCTCTGCAGGTACCAGCAATTCTTGTCTTTCGAACTGTCTTTTATTAATGTAGCTCAGAATTCAGAACAGTTGTTCATAGCCCATAGCTTCTGTTACAAGAGCTGAAAAGAATTTGTATTTATTAAGTTGGTCTTTTCTTTTTTCCTTGACTGTAAAAATTATTCTTATGAAGTTATTACTGAGCATTACAAATGCCACTCTGCAAGAAATTGTTGTTCCTTCAAGTGTATTCAGTGTTGTTTGCAGGTTTGGTTTTGCACAGTGTTGACAACACAATGAGATTTTTCATGTTTTCTTGCTGTTTTGTGAGATTGAATGGGAGAGGTTGGGATGATGATGATGATGGTTATTAATGTTATTATTATTTCTCTTGGGAATATATTAAAAGATAGAACATGGATAAATGGAGCCTCAAGGGTGACTCATGTTTTTGTTTAGCTTGAACTAGGTCCAGCTTCTAGGAGGAACTGGATTTTAGGTGCATGTTTTTGCAAAGTGTTTTAAACTGAAGTTATAATTCCAGCAGTCTCAATGGCATGTGTTTGTTTTTATTTAGAAGTGTGTTTAAGGAATGTTTTTGGTGGGTGAGTGCAAAACAAACACAACTATCTCAGTCTGGAGGCTGCAATTCTTTGGCATATTCAGTGTCAGCAAAAATCAAGTGGAAGAATGGTCTTATGAGAATGGACTTGGTTATTTTTCTGATTTACTTTCTAAAGAATTGTCTTTGTGCTCACTTGCAAGTTGTGAAAGTGTGATTTCTTGCAGTTTGCTTTCTACTTTGTAAATATTTCTGAGCATTTGAAAGGTGCCTAAAGTTTGTGTTCAGCATGAGCTGCTGCCTGCTTGTCTTTGAGTAGCACAAATTCAGGAAGTTCTTTTCTTCCAAACAGCAAATTGTTATCATATTTATTGTCACCACGTGTGTGACTCTGTGGCACCTCTATGCCATAGCTTCTATAATGTTGTTCAAGGTGTGGTTCCAATTTTTTTTTTTCTGTTGTAAATTATCAGTAAGCCTTGTCTATAACTCGACTTTTAGTTGGAGGGAAAAAAAAAAACACCACCAACAAAAACAAAACATCAAAATCCAAACAACAAAATCTGCTCTTAGATACAATGTGAACATTTAGCTTGTGAATATTTGGAGATTTTTTTGTAAAGCAATCAGTGACATTGATTTTTTATAAGTTGTTTGGGGGGGTGAAACAAAGTGAGGAATTAAATTTTTTTGCTGTTTTTTTAGGAGGTTTTTTCTTATATCTTAAAAATGTTCCATGAGAAAATATCTGTAGGCCTGTATTCATACAGTCATAACTTATGTTTTGAATATAATAGATAAGGATGGTGTAAGAATCCAATAATGTCAGATATTTTTAAAATGTAGCTTGATGTGTGTTTTTAATATCTATACTTAATTGAAAAGAAATTTCAACATTTGAACCTAGTTTACAAGTTGACCAACAAATGTCCCTCTGGTAACTGAGGGCTTTTGTCCTACTCAGCTGTACATTGGGAACATACACTCTACCTGTATTTCAATACACTTAGGAAAAGCCTGAGACAAAAAAAAAGGCCAAGTTTACAATATGAGGAGTTTATTATATGAGGAGTTTATGATATGTTTATGATGCTGCCTGCTTAGAAGGGTAGTTCCTTCTGCATCATGACCTGAATGAGGCAGCCAGAGCGTGGCCAGGCAGAGCTGCAGTGGTGTGTACCATGGTCGTGTCAGCAGAAGCGTGACAGATGTGCACAGTGAGCTGAGATGCATGTGAGAGAAGAATGTCAATGAAGCACAGCAAATCTAAAAATGTGTTAACTATTTCAGGATTTCATTGGCCTTTGTTCTGTTGTAAAATCTAGGGGTTGTTTTCCAGCTCCAGTATAAGCACGCATCTTCCACTTGAGAGCATTTCACTAAAATTCTTCAGATGATTTTAAAATTTTATATACAAAAGCTTGGAGCAAATAAGATTCTCCTGTCTACCCTTGAGAAATGAGAGGAATTTAACTACACAATTCTTACTAAAATTAAGAAGCATTGTAGGATTTGTCTGATCTACAGCCTCATGGAATGACTCTAGTGCAAATTTCACCATATCATGAGTGACTGACAGGTTGCTGGTTTTGAATGAAAAGACTTGCAGAGTTAATGCCTGGAATACATCTCATGCAATACATTTTGTACTAATCCTGGAATTTGTTTTATTGCAGGGATATAAAACCAGACAATATCTTGATGGATATGAATGGACATATTCGATTAGCAGATTTCGGTTCTTGTCTGAAACTGATGGAAGATGGAACGGTAAATTAGAAAGAATGATACATTCCTAAATATTTTTTCTTCAGTCCATTGATAGCCACAAAATGTGTGCTAATAAAGGGAATAGGTGCCTTATGGCAAGTGAAATGGAGCTGTAAGTGGTATTGGTATATAACTGACTTTCCTGAAAATTCAACGGCAGACTGCTCGGATTTGCAGTATATTAAGAACTTCTTAGTATACAGTCAGCTCATGAATAAATAAAGGGAAGCTGTTCTGTCAATGCCAAGTAGGTGTTTATGAACTATGAATCTCTCAGTTTTAAGCTCTGAGCTCTAATCTTTATTGAAAATGTAAGCTGTAGTATGAGCTGGATGAGATACTGAAATGGGATGATGTTCTTCTAGTCCATTTAAATTTGCACATTAAGTGTGACTAGAATGTAATTCCAGTATGTTTAATCATGTCCCAGAGGATTACAAAGTATTTGACCTAATATATGTGATTACCAAATCTATAATTGCTTACTGGCTCTAGTCCTGACAATTGACAGTTCTGTCCTTTATCTGTTTTTAAATATTGATAATAGTTTAGCAAAAGTATATTATTAGGCTGCCTATTAATGCAGTTGGATGCTTAAGTATTTCTTTATGAATTTAGAAGCTTTTGCTTGTGTTCAGTTGTTCATGTTATGACAAGAATGCTGGGCTAGGTTTATATATACATGGCATAGTACCACAGTGTCTGTAATGATGAAAGTTGATTTTAATCCTGAAAATGTAACTTCTCCAGGTCCAATCTTCAGTGGCAGTTGGAACACCAGACTACATCTCTCCAGAAATCTTGCAGGCCATGGAAGATGGAAAAGGGAAGTATGGGCCCGAGTGTGACTGGTGGTCCCTGGGCGTTTGCATGTATGAAATGCTTTATGGAGAAACGCCCTTTTATGCTGAGTCCTTGGTGGAGACCTATGGGAAAATAATGAACCACAAAGTTAGTGCACTTTCTGTCTGTCTCTAAGCTAATTTTTAATAATGGGGTAACTTGAGCACGTATTTAAAAATAAGTTTTTATGTACTAATTATGTTAAGTGTTGATAAATGTGCAAATGAACAAAATGTGTAAATGAACAAAAAATATGTTTCCATGTAGCAAGTTAATGCTTATGGATTGCAGATGACTTTGCTTTGGAATAAGGCTAAAACTTAAAATCTGGGCTTGGAAACATAGATGTTAGTTCACTCTGTGGAGTCTGTCTTGGCTACATTGCATCAATCTTGTTGTGTTTCTTTTTTCTGGTGAGCCCATTCCTTGGCTTATGCAGAAGATTCTAAAATGTTCTTCCACATGGAGCTAGCTGTAAAATTCAACAGCTGTAGTGTAAGAGAAATTTAAATAAAGGAGAAAAAGTAGAAGACAAAATATCTTAATAGTTTCTATCCTTAGCAGAAGTCTTTTCCTTGAAACCTTAGCGCATGTATTTCAGAGCTGGAGTGTTTGCACAATTCTTTTTCTAGTTAATGATTTTTAGTAAGAAGGTAATTTTTTCCAACTTTTTCTTGGTAATAAACTATTTCCTCTTATTTTAATCTTTAAGGAGAGGTTTCAGTTTCCTGCTCAAGTGACAGATGTCTCTGAAAGTGCAAAGGACCTCATCCGAAGGCTCATTTGTAGCAGAGAGCATCGACTTGGACAAAATGGAATAGAAGACTTTAAGAACCATCCATTTTTTGCTGGGATTGACTGGGACAACATTAGGAACTGTGAGGCACCTTACATCCCAGAAGTCAGCAGCCCTACTGATACATCAAACTTTGATGTGGATGATGATTGCTTAAAAAACTCTGTAAGTACACAATTAACATTTTGATGAATCAGCCTTTGTGGTATACTTTGTAACAAAATGTATGGAAAAGGCAGTTTATTTCACTGTGTTCTGCATAAATAACAGTTAGGTGCTGCTTTGAAGTACTGAGAGGGGAATACTTCCATAGTTTGTAGGCTGGTCCTAAAATCATAAGGTTTGTAAATTCATTGTAGCTTTACATGTCTTTAGCTGACATACATCTGTTGCAGTAACAAGTTTAGTGTCCATGTCTTACAAAGAATAATACATTTACATATAGATAGTCTGCGAGACTACTTGTAGCAGAGCATTGCTAAGACTTACTATAAGTTTGCACATTGCATTTTACTGTATTTTATTATTCTAATTGCTCATGTTGGTGTTTGATTTCCTTCAGTTCATTTCCACTTAACTTTTTCCAGCCTTTTCTCCAATTTGAGTTTTGAGAAATGTAGGAGAAATACTACAGCCATTTCTTAAGGAACGAGAAAATATTTTTACCTTTCCTTAAAATGCTCTGCAACTATTGATTTTACGAGACTTTCTGTTTCTATGCTTTTGAAAAGGATGATAGATGCCTTAGCTTTGGAGGAATGCCTTGTGTTCTCTCCTCGGAAATACCTTTGGGTGTGTTTGTGTGTGTGTCTGTTGAAAGATGCAGAAACTTTCTGTTTACATGTGAGATAAAGCATTTTCACCACTTCTCTTTTCTGAACTGCATGTGCATCTCAGTTTCACTCAGTTTTCTGGGCATGCAGATAAGTGGCAACATGAATTGTTGTAGACAAGATGATCATTATTTGTATTCCCTTTTCTCCAGCTGCACATTAAAACATGGAAACCACTTTGACTAAAACACTTTGTGGGTGTCAGTCTCTCCTTCCAAGTAATAAGCCACAGGACAAGAGGACATGGCCTCAAGTTGAGCCAGGGGAGGTTTAGTTTGGATATTGGGAAAAATTTCATAACCAAAAGGGCTGCCCCAGAAAGTGGTGGAGTCAATTGACTCACTGGAAGTTTTTAGACGTGGTCCTTAGGAAAGTCATTTAGTGATGGACCTGACAGTTAATGGCTGGACTCAATGATCTTGAAGGTCTTTTCCAATTTAAGTGATTCTGTGATCTCTGGTTAAATCTCAGACCCCTTTTCCTTATGGGCAAATTAGGCAAATCCGTGTAGCTGCATAGGATGACTTGCACTTTTTTCATTTTGTTTCCTCACTTATATCTGATATTTCCTCCTCCCTTCACAACAGAAGTATTTTTATCTTAAAAATTGTTTATACAGTCTACAGATACCAGTTTGCACATTATTTTGTCCAGCAACAGCTAGAATGGAGAATGGAGTAGCTGGAGTGCATGCTGTATGTAGCAGGTCTTTGTTTGTGAAGCTGAAATACTTTTTAGAGGTTGTTCACACATTTTAGTGTTGTCCATTCCACCACTCCTCCTTTTTAGAGCCCATTCTCCCACCTGAAGTTTTCAAACTATGGCTGTATAGTGTGAATGCTTTACCATTGGGAAGGAACAGGGACCTGCAGGTGCAGAAAGAATGCTCCTCTGCTGAGTTACTGGACTCTCAGCTGAGAAAACTGAGTCCCATTCTTACTTTGCTTTAGACATTTGGGGGTGAAAAGCAATGCCCCTGAACTGTTAGAGAGGAATGCCAGTTTCTAGAGCTTCTTTTTCAGCTTCCTAATTTGAAACATCTGAAGGTTTTGTTCTGTTTTAATATAAGGATGTTATTTTCTTGCCATTTCTTTTCACACCTAGTATCTCAGAACTGCTGAAAAAACCTAGCCTAAAGGCATTGCATGACTGAGAATATTTTACATTTTTGCTTTGACCAGTGGACATTGTATTTCATATTGCTTTGCCTCAAATTCCTTATATATAACTTGGAGGTATTTTCTCCTCCATATTTCATACATATCTTTTGAGGAAGTTCCACATACTCACACTGCTATTGTAGAAGTCAGCAACACAGATAAGCCCATGAGACTTTTTTTTTTTTCTTTCAAAAATTCTTGGCAAGATTTGAATTGCATAGAGCAAATGAGGAAAACCCAATGCTGAAGATAAAAGACAGTGTTGAAAAGCCATGGTTGTTATTCTTCCTGAGCTTTGAATGAGACCATAGTCCCATGGAAAAATTATATACATAATAATGACATTTAAAAAGTATGTTGAATGTACACACAAGCATAAAGGGCAAAACTGTGCTATTCAGGCAGCCTAAGCTGTGCTGGGTTTTAGCTTTTCACTGTTTGGTTTGGTAGCCTTATTGAGAGATTCAGTCATAATTTTCTCAGCATGGTTGTACTGCTAAATTCACACAAGCAGCAGGAGATATGTATCTTGACCTCTGCAAAACAAATTCTTTCACAGAATCTTACCTTATGATCAATAGAAACAATATTTTAGATATTTAGTAACCTCTCAGTGTAGTATCTGAGAATTGTCATGTGGGCTGTTAAAATCATGCCATTAAGTATTTGATAGTTTTAAAAGTTATTTGCGAATACAGTTTTGAAATTTGAATCTATGGAAGGCGAAAACAGAATGTAAAGGAGAAGTAGAATTTTACTTTTTCTAACCATAGTAATCCCTAATAATTGAGATTTTTTTTAATGATTTAGTGGAAAGTTCAGGCTTTGTAATTTGATCTTGTCCTTAGTTTCCAAAATACTCAACTTCATGAATTTACACAATCTAGCAATATCATTAGTGTTGTTTGAGAACTCTTTTATAACATGAAGGTTTTTGTCAGCTAAGAGGACAAGGTTGTGATGTAATATAGCTGACATCACCACTGGAATGGTAATTTCACATTTCTTTTGAGTGCAGTCTTAATCCTTGTCCTTTCCTGCAGAGTTTTATATGAAGAAAATGTACAACTTGTTCCTTTCATTCATTTTTGTTTGGTTTAGAAAGAAATTGTTAAGGAAAGTATTTATAATATACCTTTTCTGACAATTTGGAGTCTTTTATCACTTCCAGTGCAATAATCATCTTCTTGAGGATTTTCTTTTGGTGACCGTTATGGCCTTCTCTAGAAGAGCAACGTAAACCTTGCATCTTGGGGTTAAATAGGAAGCTTTTAACAGAAAATTTAAGAATATTAGAACTTCAGATAGTCCAAATAAAATAACAACAGGGTTATTTTAGCCTGAATAGCAACTCAAAGATTTGTCTTTGTAGTTCTTTGTCTGGCAAGAAAGAGGAGCAAAGAATGAAGAAATGGTCAAAGCACTAATGGGATTAGAACACTCTCTGGTATTATTTCTTCCTAGTAAATGCCTGCTAATTGTTCTTTCCAAATAGAGGTGGCCCACTCAGAAGTGGGCTGGTAATTCTACAGGCAGGAAGCCCTGTTGACTGAATAGCAGAGAGGAGCATAGCAGGGAATAAAAGGTGTTACACTTTGTGCTAAGAGCTTCTTGGAAAAATAGCCTATTTAATTAGAAAGACATTTTTATGGCAGCATGATCTGGTTTTGTATATGGTAAATGCTATTATAAATAGCATTAGTTGATGTTGTTTCGTATTTGGGCTGTAGATAAGGATGCCAGTGAGTATAGTTCACATGATACTAACACTTCTCATATGGTTAAACTGAAAAATCTGTTTCTTTCAAGTCCAGTAGGATACTGCTTATTCAACTGTCTTGTTATTTTTCTAGGAAACAATGCCTCCACCATCCCACACTGCATTTTCTGGCCATCATTTACCATTTGTGGGTTTCACATATACAAGTAGCTGGTAAGTTAAGAGTTCAAAAATTGTCTGTAGGCTAGTTACACAGTATTCTAACTTATTCTAACTTTCTGTCTTTGAATCCTACTGAACAGATATCAAAGAATGTGGTTTATTGAGGAAATTACCATAATCTAAAATGCTATCTGTTCAAGAGAATGAGCTCTCTGCAGGTGAAATTTACATATATGTATAGGTCAGCACCTATGCTCAGGGGAGTTTTGATGAGAAAGGTTGTTATTAGAGAATATATAAAATTAACTGCCCATTACAAAGTTAAGACTGCATGTATGGACCCCAACAAAACTTAGTTTGTTAGACATCAAAACCAGTTTTATTTCTAGCCCTTTGACACTTCTGTAAGTCTGAATAGAAATTTTGTAAAAATTACTTTATTTGATATCTGCTATTAATGTATAATTTATTTCACTCATTTCCATTGCTAAACTAAACAGGGAAGTCCCTTGTATGCTCCTTGTTTATGGAAATAAAGAAAGTGTTTACAACCATTGAAAAGACAGGCCTGTTTCTGCTGGGAAAGTGACTATGTCCTAGAATGTCCTGGACTTCAAAAGCATTATTTGCATAAGTAGTAGCATGTGTACATGACTAGCCACAGCATTTCTGACATGTCCGTGCCTTAGTTGTTATGGGATAATTTCATACCATTTTTAGTGATTGTTGTCTTTAAAGCATTTCTGATACTTGATTAACTATTCTCAAATGAACTACTGTTGTAATTTTACTGTCTAAGCTTTTGCTTTTTGCTATCTGGCTAACATAGAGTATCCATAATGATTTTTAATCAGGGGTTCATCCAATTCTGTGTAACAAAAAATGCATTGAGGAGATCAGGCATGCTAGGTAAAAATTATTTCGATTTCCAATGAGCACATACAAACAAAGTATTATAACAAGATGTTATAATAAATGGCATAGTAATTAGCAACTTAAACAAACTGTTTATTGGTTGATGTTTTTATAGCAGTGTTTTAAATCAGGCTGTTGTAAAATCCAATACTATTTATTTTTTCCCCCCAGTGTTCTTTCAGACCGCAGCTGTCTAAGACTGACAGCTGGACCACCCTCCATGGATCTTGATGCCAGCATTCAGAGAACTTTGGAGGATAGTTTAGCAACAGAAGCTTATGAGAGGAGAATAAGGCGTCTAGAACAGGAAAAGCTTGAACTTAGCAGAAAACTGCAAGGTATAGTCATAAAAAAAAAATCATTTCATCACTTTTTAAACTTAGATTAACCTGCAGTTTTGTAAGGCACTGTTTATACTATGGGAAAAAAAAAAATATACCTCCTGGAATGCTTTTTAGCAGAAAATAATTCTTTTTATTATTTTGATTGACAAATTAAATTTCTATTACACTTTATACCTGAAATACACCATGTATGCAACTTCTTGTGCTAACTTTGTTCTCACTGTACCTTGGTCACTGTGGCATAAACATTTTGTTCTTAAAACTTCTAAGAACTTAGTTGGTCTAGCTGACAATTACTGAAAAATTGGCACATAATAATTGGAAATTGCAAATTGTAGAATGCCCAGTGCAGGATCTTTTGGCATGTCTTAATTTATCAGTAGTATCTCTTTGATCTCCTCAGATGTCAGGCATGTTATCCATCCTTCTCTCTTCTATCTTTTTCTAGAGTCCACCCAGACAGTGCAGGCTCTTCAGTATTCAACAGTGGATGGCCCAATAACAGCAAGTAAAGATTTAGAAATTAAAAGTTTGAAAGAAGAAATTGAAAAGTTGAAGAAACAGGTAACAGGTATGTTATAAATAGTAATGTAAAAGCTGTAACAAGAAACTGTATTTTGTCAAGTTTTTTTTTTCTCTCCAATCGTAATGCTAGTTTTCCTTGGCTTTATAAAATTTTCCAGTCTATTTTTACTTCTCATTTTACCCCTCACTCTCCCACTGTACCACAGCATTTTCTTCAAATTCAGTTTGAGTTTTCCAAGTGGCAAGGAGTAGTGCATGAGAGAGGATACAATGGGCCATGAGGCTGCACTGCCAGCAGCAAAACTGATCAAAGAAAACTGTCACCAAAATAAGTCCTGCCTACAGCTGCATGGCCCCTTCTCAACCTGTGCATTCCCTGCACTCTCTCATCACTTTAATTGACTTGATTAAACAAGGAAAATGCTGTTAGATAGAGAGAATTTAATCAACTTGTGATCAGATAAATCAGCACAAGGTGGGCAATAAAAGCATGTGGGGAAAGGGAGATGAGAGGGAGAAGAACCACCTTTCAGCTCTGCTGTCAATGTGCTGTCATTCCTTTCAAAACTGAACATTTATTTTCTTTGCTTCCGAGAGTTCTTGAAGATTTTATGAAAACTAAAGTTTTGGCTGTCAAGAACCTCAGTACTTTAAGATGGAAAAGTAGTTTTGAAATCTGTGCAGCTAAAAAGATTATTTTTTAAATTAATGTTACGATGCCTTTCATCAGGACATTCATACTAGTCAAAAAACAAAAATCTACCTAGCCCAGTATGTGTGTTCTACAGAGGCAACTGGAGATGTTTAGGGAAAGATCCATCTTTTTCCAGCCTTACTTTACCAGATTCTGGACAATTCATGTTTTAAGAACTTTGAGAGGGAGGACTTACAGTGCACCACTATATTGAATATAGCTATGAGTGAACCAATTTGCTGTCTGTTTGACTAATGTATTTTTAGCCTGCTTTAAAGGCTAGTATTCAGTATTCTTGATTTGATATTCTGAATAAGTTAAAGGGAGTTTTCTCTCATAGTGATTCGTAGCATAGGATTCCTGCTATACATCTCCATAATGCTGTCTTTAAAATAGAATCTTAAGAGCAGAGACATCTCAAAAAAAAAGGAAGAAAGGAAGCACAGCAAGATTTTTTTTATTTTAAAAATATTAAGATAAAAATAGGAAAATTAACAAGAGACTGTTAGGTATCAGGTCTGGAACCAGAGAAATGGGGAGAAAAACCCAATTAATCTTACAGGAGAATGTCTGTGGTTTGTGTGAAAAATCAGTCACAAGTAGTGGTAGATACATCTCTATTATATGTCCATATCTTGCCTGAGACAAGAGAAAAACAAACAGCCAGAAATGTTGGAGGAAACTACAAAAAACATTTGTTCTGGTTTGTATTTGTGACAAGACTTCATTCAATTGCTGAAAGTGTCAGGAATGCCAGCAGCGACACCCACAGAAAGAGTAACTTGAACTCAGCTTGCAGACACTTGAGTGGATGTGTTTGGGCTCTGCAGCTGCCTTGTGGGGCAGGAAGAGCTATGTGTGAGCTGCAGAGTGCAGCACACAGATTACAGCCTGTTAAAATTGTGTAGTCTGAAAAAAGCCTGTTACAGATACAGAGCTGGACAGCTGCTCTGGCGTGATGCAGCAGTTTTGTATTGTACCATGGGCATTATTTTTGGAGAGGAACATGGCTTAGCCAGCTCAGGGAGGATCACTCTGGTTTGAGTGATGCCATGTTGGCACTCTGTCAGGACAAAGGCTTTTGTGAAATTTTGCTCCAGCCAAATGTCCCTCCTCTTGCTGCTGTAGTGAGGATAAAGATAACATGATCAGAAATCCTTTCTCTGCAACAGTCCTTAGATCAGGTTTTGAAAACTGACTTTTCTGTTTTCTTCTTCAGTTTTCTTCTTCTTGTAAACTGAAAAGCAACATTCACAAGAACAGTTTTTGAATGAGACCAATCATTCACAGAAAAACATCAAAATCAGCTTTAAATTGTATTTTGTTCTTTACTATTGAGCTGCAACTTAGTTCACTGCTGAAAGTATCACTCATTTACTTTGGTATTAAAAAAAAAAAATAGTAAAGGTGTGGAAACATTCCCCAACACATCTGCTGTCCCTTTTGAAATTGAAGAGAAGTCAAAGTCTGGTGAAGGTGGTCAATACTGAGAAGTTTTTTCCTAAAGTAATTTTCTGCTTCACACCACATACATATTTGTGTATTTATTCCTAGACAGAATGTGTACTTTTGGAGTTTGGTTTGGAAGTGAATAATAGGATCAAATGAGGAAGATGTAGAGCTGCCTAACCCATCCCCAGTCACTGCACAACTTTGCCAGTATATACTTGAATGCTTTGTCTGATCCAGCCATTTGTTAGAAAAGACTCATTTGTGCCTTAAGCTGCAACTAATACAAGCAAATTTGATAAAATAGAAAGAGAATTTTCTATTTTACTTGATTTTTATGGAGGTTTTGAGATAGATTTTAGAACTATATTAATGGCAGAATACAGAAACAAACCAAATGATGACCATGTCTGAATGCTTCCAAATATAGGGGAGCTAGTTCCAGGTTTTCTGGGTAGCCTTTAAAAGATCTGATGAACTTTAAGAAGGTTCAGTTCAGGTGCAGAAATGACCTTTTTATGCTTTGGGCTCATCTCTTGAGTTACTAAATGTAATGTAATAATGTATTACAGTGAGTGTTTAGATATATTATCTAAAATGTTAGTTACAACTAGGGTGATTAAATGGAAAATTACCATTTACAACCCATATGTCACACCTAGCTTTTTGTTACATTCTTTAACCTGTTTTACTGCCTTTTCTGAAGCTGTAAGAGTAAACACCTGCTTAAAAAGGTAATAAAGAATGAGCTCAAAATTGTGTCAAATTCAGGAGTGTCACCGGGAGGGCTTAGAAAAATACATTTTTCTTGTCTATCTGGTTTTCCAGGAAATGACAAGCTAGCATATGCTTTCAATTTTTGAGGTCAAAGTTATAATTTTTGTTCGCTAAGTTACATAGGAGAAAACTTTGAGGAATCTTTAATATTGCCAAATATGTAAAGGGCAGCAATGCAAGAGGAAAACAGAGCTGTGGAACAAAGTAGTTCATGCACAGAAGAGAGATTTATCTTGGCTCAGCAGAGCCATATATAAACTTTCTTTTCACTGGTGACTTCAGAGTAGACTACATAAGGAAGGCAGTTAATAATTTCTGGCTTTGAGCTGCATCTCTTATTTAAGTGCATTCTTTTAAATTTTAAACAAGAGTGAGTGAATTAAAACAATAGTGAATATTTTTCTGGGTATAAGCTAATGGTATTAATTTGCTTATAAAATTCTTGTGTTTCAGAAATTGACCCTCTTAAAAATGTATGTGTTTTTATATTTGATTTCTCCAAGAGCCAGTCTCTTAGGGTTGCATTTATGAAAATGTAGTTATAGGCTGTTATTAAGAATATAGATGGGTTCCTGTTCTTTGGGTAAATACAAGTGGTCTGAAGACCTGCCCACAACTGAAATAAAAGAAAACATGTCCAGTGATTTCATAGAACTTGGAATTAACTTACCTTCCAATATATCTTGCTTTAAAGTCTTGTTTTTGAAGTAAAGACTATGAGGCAAAAAAAAACCCCACTCACTAGTTAGAAAATATCAGTTGCCATATTTTATGAGTTTCAGGTTTTCTTGTAGAATTTGAGGGTATTTATATGACATTAGTTAACTGTGCCATAGAAATATACTGTCACTGTGTAACTGACTGTTGGTAAGAAACTGGTTGCAATAGTTCTCCCTTATTTATAGTAGTAATAAAGCAGATCACATAAAAACAAGTGGTTTTCACACTAGAAATAAGTAAAATCAGCTGAAGTTAATTTTAAGAGTACTGACAGGAGAACACTTGCCAGCTCTTGAGTGACCCATTATTTTTACTGTTTCTTTTTGGGGGAAATTGGGAGGAGGAGGAGGGAGACTGTTTATAATTACTGTGTAATAAAAGATGTATTATATATTACATCACAGCACATAAAAGTCAAATGTATAAGTTGTGTTAAAGCATACATTACAGAATTATGTATTAGAGCTGGCCAATATAATGTGAGAAGACAAGTAATTATCATTTTTGTGTTATATTCCAGCAAGCTGGGACCTTTCATTCTGTTCCCTTAAAAGCAGATAATGGCAGCTGAAACAACCTGCTCCCTTTTCTAAACCAGATAAGAATTGCCTTATTTTGTGATGAAATGGAAACCAGAAAAAATATCGAAGGGGCTTCAAGCAGCTAGGCTATGCTATTGTAGAATTCTGATTTTTCCCTTAAAATATTTAGAGTTCTGCTGCTTTTTCTAGAATCTGGTCAGCTGGAGCAGCAGCTCGAGGAGGCCAGCACTGCAAGGAGGGAATTGGATGATGCCTCCAGACAAATTAAGGCCTTTGAAAAGCAAGTCAGGACGCTGAAGCAAGAGAGAGAAGATCTTAATAAGGTAAAATCATTTTGTCAGCAACTGTTCTAAACCCTCCAGACTGTTTTATTTTTGTTCATTTTGCTTGTAATAACTTTCAAGTGTATAACTAATGAGCAGATAACAAGTGTGTAGCATGACCTACTTAGCTTTCTGACTTTTTTTTTTGTTGAAGAAAAGGACATTATTTAACACATTGTCTGTATGACTGCTGGGTGCTCCCTAAGTGATTGCTTCCAGATAGTGAACAACTCCATAATCCAAATTGCATGGTGGCTGCAAAAAAGGTTTTAGAGCTTCACATTTAGGTGATAATGATAGGGCTTAGAAGACAGAGTAGAGAAGAACTATTCCAGACAATTTAATCTGAAGTATGGGTTAGACTTTAACAGTGAAAAAATGTGAAGAATATGGTATTAAGGCTGTGTCACAGAAGTATTTCCAGAGGGAGATGTGAAAAATTGCCCAAGTATGAAAATTGAAAAGTAATTTGAAATAACTACAGCTAAAGAATACTGGATTTTATTTCTTCTTCTCTGTCTCCCTGATCCCACATTTTCTTATTTTTAGCATACTGTCTTTCATGGCTCTTTTTTGTATTTGCTATTAAATCAACCTGTAATCAGGTGTGAAATACGTAAAACCTGTTTTTCATTGTAATTATATTGGCTCAGTATTTTAGAGTCCACACTAAAGTTGATGTGCCAGCTGTGTGTAACACTGTTTCTTCTGACCCTTAAGGCTCTTAAAATTTAAAAAGCTGCCAATTTGTCCCAGAAAGACCATCTCTCTTCTAAACCAACTCTTAATGATTAGGACCTCTTTTTAAGAACCTTAGAAACATGTTTAGATTTACATGGATGCCAGCAGTGCCAAATATTAATTCTTCCAGTTGGTGTTTTTTTTAATCCTGAAATTTGCTTTTCCTTGCTTCTTTTTTCTGCTCTGGTTTGACTGAACATTATGGAACTGTTTAAAGTGTTGTGGTCCCTCACTGGTAGTGTGGTGGCACAAATCTAGGGCACGGCAAAATTTGTGAAGGTGTTGTGGTGTGGAGTTATCACTGCACTAGCAGTGTTATTTCATGCTGATTCTTTGAAAAGGATAGTTATCATATATTGCTTTTATTCACTGCAGTGTTTTATTACCTGAAGCTTTCTCTGATATTTGATATTAAGGTATAGTGTATGGAAATAATATTTGCCATTGCAGGCCAGTTTTCTAAAGATTCTTGAATAAAAATTTTCATAGAGCAGTTTTCCATTCAATTTTAACCATTTAGCACTTGACATTCTTGTAATTATTAAAAACTAATGCTAATGATATTTTTGCATTAAGAAAGCAAGGTATTTTTGTATTGTAATGCAAGTGCTTGAACACCATTGTGTTTACCTGTAATAATGGAGTAGATTCTTACTTGGTTTACATTTATGGAGTTTTACTCACTCTAGTAATGTAAAACATGCCTCTTTCCTTATTCATAGAGGCATCCAATCTGTATTGTAGATGCATTCATGAAATCAAAAAGAATATGTAGTTTCTATTCACTCTGGAAAAGGTGTTAGATATTCATCCAAAGACAGAATCGGCCTTGTAGCTTTCTAGGTTTGTTACTTAATTCTTTTTTTAAACTGTAGGAACTGGCAGAGTCTAGTGACAGATTAAAATCCCAAGCCAAAGAGCTGAAAGATGCACACAGCCAGCGGAAATTGGCAATGCAGGAGTTCTCAGAGATGAACGAGCGGCTGACAGACTTGCACTCTCAAAAACAAAAGCTTGCCCGCCAGCTCCGAGATAAGGAGGAAGAAATGGAAGTGGTGATGCAAAAAGTAGAAAGTTTAAGGCAAGAGTTACGCAGAACAGAGAGACTTAAAAAAGAAGTAAGTGGTGAGAAGACTGTTTGGACTCTATGAAATAAGTTATATGTAAGGTTTTCTGAGTATTATTTTAAATTTGTAAATCTTTAACCTTTTGTCTGTTGTTTCAAACAGTACCAGTTTTGTTTTCTAAGACTTTGAAGTGTTCAGTTTGGTGCTGAAGATTTCTCTCTTATATTGAATACCATCAATAGATTTTGAAAAAAAAAACCCTGCAGAATCCTATCTATTAAAAACGTATGTACTTTTGCAGCTGGAAGTCCAAGCTGAAGCTGCAGCTGCTGAGGCATCCAAAGACAGGAAATTGCGAGAGAGGAGTGAACAGTACTCTAAACAGTTGGAAAGTGAAGTAGAAGGGCTAAAGGTTAGTCTGTTTTGATATTAACACCTGCACACTTACCAGTCAACTAGGACTTGGATCTGTTTGATTGCTTTCAGATGTAGGACAAAAGGGTTTTGTCAGTCTGTCACTTCACTTGGTGCTGAATGTTAACACAGGCATGCATTGCATTATTGCCCAGAAAAATTAACATTTGCCTGATGTGCTGTTTCTAAATAATCAACCTTGTCTTACCACGTTGCTTCCATTAATGCTTTGCTTAACTTTACTTGTTAAAAGCTTTTTTGTTTTAGCATAAGTTGGTTGAATATTTGAAGATAAACCTGCAATCTAGGCAGGTTTCTGTAGAGGTGTTCTGTCTGCTGTGTTGTTCCTCATGTTTCCTGCACAGTGGATGTCAACTGATGTAACCATACAGGAACAGTTTTAATACATTCTGCCTTTCACCCAGAGGATGAGGCATTTTTACCCAAGAACAGCATTGAGTGTGAAGACTTTATTTATATTGATGAGATTGTTCACATGTGCATGTGATTTTAAAAGAAGAAATTAAGGCAGCCAAGAATATTAACTGTTACTTTATTCTGTGATTTAGCTTTTTATGCAGTGCTCTAGAGAAGATAGGCTTTCTCAAAAATTGAATAGAAAGTTTTTAATTTACTTACATGGATTGCTGTTCATTCACAGCAAAATCCTGTTCCAAATGTTTCATGCAGTAGGGTAATTCTAAACTTTTTGGGCAAAATGTGAGATTAGTCCTAATCTGGTCTTAATTTAAATGAACAACCAAGTTTTTTTTCATTAGAAGTCTCTGGGACATTCATCAACATTAAGTTATGGCACAGAAAATTTGATGGTTTTGTACAAACATTCTTCTATTTGGCCTTCCTCTGCTAAAAGAAAATAAGGAAATTCATTCAATATGAAGTTTGGATTAATGAAGTTTCTACTGCTGTGAATTCAGATTGTTACCTGAAAATTAACATCTGTTCCTTCTGCTTCCATGAATCTTCCGCATCAGCAAAGAGCTTGTATGATAGTTTAAGAGGCAAGAAGAATTTATGGGAGATCTGTTGAGAATAAATGATATGCTGATTTATAACAGCAGGGCAAGTTTGTCAGAAGAGGAAAAGGGAATTTTAGCTTTCTTGGTAATATTTTACAATTCAGTAAGCACAGTTTGGGTCACGAGTGGTTGTTGTGATACTGCACTGTCCATTCAGTAAAAGCTCTGCATGGTTCCTTAGTTAAATTCAGGAAGCTCTCCTACACAAAAGTATTTAAAGAAGAAAGGAAGGTTTCTCCAAATGAGGAGAATAGAAGAAACCATAAATGATGGAAGGTTAAGTGTAAACAGGATGTTGAAAGCTGAATAAAGAGAATTTAGGAAGCATTTCGCAGAGGATGCTCAGAGTGATTGTGGATTTCTGCTTTAAATCCAAAGCAGAAAACCTCAGGAAACTCATGGGGCTGCTTGGGGATGGAAAAGGCAATCTCTGAGCTAATAGAGCTGTGGCATAAAATGCTCCACAAGTCCTCAGTGTGTCAGACTTCAGTGCTGAAGGAGGGGAGATTGCCACCCAGTGTGTTCTTTGCAGCAGGCTGGGCACATGAGCTGGGTTGTCTGGCATGATTGCAGGGAGCAGGAGAGCTGGCAGGTGAGTCAGATGTGAAGTCACTTGAGGGAGTTCTGAAGGAACTTAAATGACAAGAGAGCTGCTGGCCAAGATGTGAAGGCTGTGACTCTCATTCAGATCATCTGGGGAGGTGCAGAGGGCTGGGTGCAGCTTCCTCAGGAAAGGAGCAGAGGCTGTGATAAAGGATAATGTCAGAGTTCATGGATGAAGCAGAGCCTGTTGGGAAGAAGGCAGTGTGCCTGCTGTCTGTCCTTCTGTGCAGCACTGACCTGCTGGGGTTCTGCAAGCTTGTCAGTCAAGTGTGTGGACAGAGGGGATCCTGTGGATGTCATGTATTCAGATTTTCAGTAAAATCAGGCTCAGTGTTAGTCAGCAGTGTGTCCTGTTAGCTGAGAGGGGTGCATTAAACAGCAGCTGTCAATGTGCCAGGAAGTGCATTCTGTCTCAGTTGCACCATTTGTCTATTTGAAATAGGCATGTATGAAAACATCTATTTGGAATATGTGCTTACATCAATTAAAAATGTATTCTCTGTTTACTATATTTCTCTAGTTTTCTCCAAGCCATTGTCCAATACCCTTGGGCTTTCTCTTCTACCCCACCATCTCCCTTATGGTTGCAATAGTATCTTTTCATTGTGGTAAAAAATGTGCAATTCCACTAAAACATTTTATGTACCTGCTAGAGGATGTTGCAAAGCCTAAACTTCTTCTGTGCTCCATTACCCTGTATGTGTGAACAATTTAGGATGTTGGGCAGTAACAAACAAATTTCACAGTGCCTGTGAATGAAAGAAAATTCCTATGCTGCTTTTTTTAAAGATCTTTCTTTCTCCAAAGCATCTCCTGTTAGGATGGTATCTTCCTTCTCCAGTTTAGTGTTCTGCATCCTAAGGGCAGGATTTTACTCTTAGATCAAACCAGATGGTTGTTTTGATGAGTTAGAGAAAACAGTGCAGTAGCAGCACATCTCTGGCTCGTACATGTAGGGGGTTTTGCAGTTTTTTGCTGACACAAACAGCAAGGCCCAGCTTTCTCACAGAATTTGTCATGGCACAAATTCAGCTCATCAGAATGTTCTACAATGACATTTAGCTCTTAAAGCCTGCTCATACATCAGGAAAAGAAAATTACCCAAAGCCATGCCAAATTAAGGGTGACTGAGAGGTTTTTAGCATCTCATGGTAAGAATGGAGGTATAATTAACAAAATACCCTCAGTCCTCTGGAAGGTGTGACAAAGTCACCATAAGGAAGTAGGTTTTTCAGTCACCTGCACTTTTTCAAAGTGTTTTTATGAATTTCCTTTCCTTAGAACACCTTTCATTACACATTTTAAAAACGAGAAGAAATTCCAAACCAAATTGTCCGTATGTTGACATTAAAAAGTCATTTCCAGACGTGGATTTCAGTGCATGTCATGCCACTGTCTCATTTTGACCCTGATCTTGCTCCTCCTCTATATTATGGCAGGACATTGAGTTTAGTGAGTGCAGCATTTGGTGCAAATGTGAATGTATCCTGAAGTAATGTTTAAAGACTATTGAAATGCCAGAAGACCTAACTAAGAGAGCTATGAAACTGCAAAAAGTGAAGTAATTACTCTTATTGTTTAAAGCTTGTTTATCCTATTAATCCACTATGATAGAAGGGGTCAGTTTAGGTGAAATAGGTCAGGTTTCCCTCCTGACTGATACAATCCATGTAGTATTTCTCTAGCTAAACTTTAGCTTTCAGTTAAGCCTCTGCTTGTCTTAGCATAGCTTTTCCAGAAATTATTTGTCCTTCAGAATATATTATTGTCCTAATTCTTATTCTGCTTTTCTGAAAGTCACTTCAACTTGTTGCTGTCAGCTGAGTGGAAGCATCAAAGTCTTTAATTCTGTGGTCACTTTCTGACTGCATTTAAGGGGAGTCAGAACATGACCAGAGGCATTTAATGATCAAATTTTCAGTAGCTTGAAAACTTACTGCATTTAAATAGCAAAATAATAGAGTGTCATTCCAATTTATGCTCCTAACAAATTTTGAAATAAATTGAGATAGATGTGTTTAACTCAAGGCTTTAATGGGATATTTCTAAACAAAGGCTTTGGAACATTGAGTTGTTATTAAGTATCATTTCCAGCATTCTTGACTATTAATTTGGGGCTGTTTATTTTAGCAAAAACAGGTTGGTCGCTCACCTGGGGTAAGCAGTATAGAACACCAGCAAGAGATCACTAAATTAAAGGCAGACCTGGAAAAGAAGAGTGTTTTCTACGAAGAGGAACTATCTAAACGTGAAATGATGCATGCTAATGAAATAAAAAGTCTGAAGAAAGAACTGCGGGATGCAGAGAGCCAGCAGCTCGCCCTCAAGAAGGAGATCATGGTTTTGAAAGACAAGTTAGAGAAAACCAGAAGAGAAAAGTGAGTATTGTATGAAATTTACCTTTTCTTAACCCTTTGAAGTCTCCTAGTATTGTTCCAAACACACTGTCACTTCCTTAAGTGTAATGCAGATTGTTGCACTTTGGCTGAGCTGATGCCAGGGTTAAAACCAGTCACCTTTACAAACAGAACAGAACAAAAAGCTCCACATCCTTGTACTGAAACAGTTAATTTTGCATCAGAAGTCTTTTAGTGGCTGGCCATTCCAAGGTATGTAACTTGAGTTACAGACTTGCAGCTCGGGGTAAGTTGACCCCTGAAGCTTGTGTTGCACTTTAAAACAGTTTCTCAACATTTTTCTTTTATTTGGTATTTTCATCTTTTGATGCAAAACTAATGTGTTAGAGATCAAGTATTGTTTACATTTCTGCCAGCACAGGAACAGTCACTTAATGTGAGCTGAGGCTAATCCATGCTGGGTTCCATCCAGTGTTAACATCAGTCAGCAGACTACTGTGGGCGTAAGCTGCTTTATCTCTCCTGACATGGTAATTTGTCAGACCTGCTTTTTTCTCTCCCACATGGTGGAGCTTATAACTGGCCTTGAGATTGTTCCTTGAGGCATTCATCAATAAAAGCAAGTTTTTCTGTTGGATGGTGTAGTAGTAGGAATAAGTTATAAATTGAACATGCTCATGTTCATTCATAAAAAAATTCAGAATGCTTCGTAGACACTTATATAGATGAGTCTTTTTGCTGCTGTAGCAAGATGGCAGATGAGAGAAACCATAGAGAAGTCCCTGCTGAGAGGTTAGCCAAACTATAGCAAGACCTTTAAATAGAAGCAGTAAATTAAATATAATTTTTTTCCAAAAAGTTTATGCAAATAGAGGTGGAAACACTGTATCTCTTGTAAATTGTATTCAGCAGGAATCATAAATCATACAGCTTAGAATGCAGTGCATGAACTGTTTCTTCCTAGCATGCAGCTATTCAATAGGTCCTGTGCTGGACCTACTAACAGCACAGGAATTTGCTGCTTTGATCTGGTTGGAGAGGTGAGCCCTGCCTCAGCAGCATGTTTTCATTGTGACACCACTTAATGGCCATGCTGACCAATGAGTTACAAATGCACAAAAGGCTGTTCTGTCTTGTAACATAGAAAGGTGATGGTTTGGCACTCTTTTAAGTCCAGCAGTGTCTCAGAAGGAGGAATATTAAAGAATCATGAATTCTGCTCTCTGCAGGTTAAACTGTTTGAAAGGATCATACCTGCAAGCAGTTGACCAAATGAAAAACTCCTTTCCCAATTCTAATGTTGCACAGCTGCAGGCATTCTAACTAGATGTCCATTCTAGCCAGTTCATAAACTCTCCTTCAGTCTGGTCTCTATAAATAAAAAAGGACTGGGTACAAATCTACAGTGGATGCTGTCATAACCATGTGTTTCTGTATGTGGTTCAAGTGGTTGTGTTAGAGAAGGTTTTGAAGTGAGAGCAGAAATGTGTCACCTAACCAGTATCAAACACTCATGGCAAGGGCTGCCAGCACCATGTTCAATCAGGTGTCCAAGCACATGATCAGTGCTTGGGGAAGGCCTGATCTTACTTGTCTTTGTTAAACAAATCTGCAAAATCTCATGCAAGCATTAGGACTCCACAGAAAGGCAGAAGTCCCCTGTTCAAGTTATGCCATGGTTTGACTTCTGCAGTTTAGAAGGGAAGCTTAAGCATTAGGAATGCAGGAATTGCTGTTGCTACTCAATACTTGGTAGTTTTCCTTAAAATAATACAGGTTTTCTGTTTCTGCTTATCCATATTGGTGTTAGCTTTTGTAGTCTGGCATGAAAAGCTTTTTGTGAGTCTTCCAGTAGAGAGGTATTGAATGTAAGCACTGAAAAGGAAGCACCTGGAGGCTTTGTGCTGAAATAAGTGGAATTATTTCAACAATAGGCTTGGGGTGGGTGTGGAGTTGAAGTGTGCTTATACAGTTTGGCAAAAATATTTTAGTAGTCTAAAAATAATCATCAGTGCATATTAAAAAAGATCTTGGTAAGAGGATGTGGTTGTATTACTGTGTAAGATGAGTGAATTACATAGGTTATTCTAGGCAAGGATCAGGAAGAGCTTTGACAAAATCTGTATGTCGATTTTTGTGTAACTTGCACGTTGGTGGTTTCTGTTTTGCATTTTTAAAATAGATATTTTCCTTTGTTTCCTTCAATTTTAAGCTTTCTAACTTTTGCTATTTCCAAAGCACAAGTCTTCAAGGGAGATTACCTTCCTGTACAAAATGATTGCATTTTGCTGAAGTCTCATAAACTGCATGCTATTAAAGTTGGGAGCAGAGGAGCACAGTATCAGGCCAGTGATCTGTGTAGCACTAAATTCCATTTCTTAGAATTGTCATTAGGAAGTATTTCAGAAGAAGATGCAAGAAACTCTATAAAATAAATCACATTTGTAGAAACTTCTTTTAGGCCTGTCATTTCATGATGGATTTATAAAGCAGAGAACTTTATAGAACAGCATTTGCTGGTTTTAAATTGTGTGATATAAAGAAGCCTGGGGGCTGGTGTTTGTTTCAGGTCTATTTTTCTTGGTTTCAAAGCAGTAAGATAAAATATTTGGCCACTTTGTACAGATGCAATAAAGAGCTGGAGTGACAAAGTGATACCATAAAGCAGTATTTCACATTGCTTGCATGTGGTTTGCTGCAGTTCTACTGATAAAAGGAAAGCTGGGTTGTGTATATTTTCTTAACTTGAAGAGGAGACACACAGCTAAATGTTAGATGAGAGAGGAAGTTTGATGGGAGAGGAGGATGCCAGGCTTCAAAGCAAAAGCATTATTTTGATCTTGCTGCCTGTCCAAGGTACATCCATGGAGTCTGTCACAGTTCTGTTATTTGCTGAGTGGCTGTTTGGGTGTGATGGATTATACCCACATTCTCCTCTGTTTCAAATTTATCTTCATTTCTGTATTATACTGTAGCAATCTGACTTACTGGGGTAATGACAATCACCAGCATAATTAAGAATGTAAAATATAGAAACTTGCAAACGTGTTGGGCTCTTTCACTAATCCATAGTGTCCTTAATCCACTGTCATTTATGGCTGCTTCGAGCCCCAAAGCCTTAAAGGAATACATTTAAGACAAATACTGAAAAAAATTCCTAAACAAACCCATGAAAGCTGCGTGAAAGAAATTCATTAAAAGTTAGTTTGGACTTCTGTCTGCAAAATGAGCTTTGAATCTATGCCTTGAAAACAGAAGCAGGAGCTGGTATTAATTCCTATGACAGCCAGTGCTTTAATCTCTTCCTGCCTTTTCCCTATACTGCTCATCATATGCATGGAATCTGTTGATATAGAAAAGGAGTGGTGGTGAATTTCAAACTTGGCATTTAAACAGTGAGATAGTATGTAACTTTACTAGGCTGAAGTGTTATGTTTCAAAGGACGCCTGACAACATAGAATTTCACCATAAGTCTGACATGTTGTACTAGATTTCAAAGAGTGGTTGAAGCACTAAATGAATTTCAAATTAAGAGTAGGAAATTCAAAGCAGCATTGCTTTTAACTGGGTTCACTGTAACCACTGGTATTTCTCATCTTTGGAGAGTGTTCTCTCAATTAGGCAAAGCTGTAGTAGTTTTGCATCTCAGAAAAAGAAGCAAGAATGTAATTTATGTTTGCATTGTGTAAAATTCTGATCAGTATCTAGAAAAAAAATTGCAGTGCTCTAGACAGGGTTTCCCCTGGATTTTAATTTTACAGTTAACCTTCAATACTGGGCACTTTTTCAAGTCTTTTCAGACTGGACAGTGGTATTTGCTGAGTGGATATTTTCTGTATCTGTGGCATTTATAGTATAGTTCTACTGATGAACTTTGTGCCAGTGACATGAATAGTTGGTAAAAAGGTGGTACAAGATGCAAGGCTAGTGAATCTGAAAACAGTAGATGCAAGGTGAGAGGTACACATCTGAAACATTGCTGTGCACCACTTGAAGGAAATTCCATGGGTTTTGTGGCAAACAGAGGGCCTGCAGCTTTGTTTGTTTTCAGGTTCTCACATTCATTGTGCAAGATCAAAGTTGATATTAAGCAGAATCAGCCAGGGGTTCTCCTCTACTGGATGACGTCCATGGGAGAAGGGAAGGTTTGGGGGAAACAGCTACTGTGAGATTTTCTTAGATAGAATGGTCCAAACTTGCTGTAGAATCTGGTGATATTAGGAATGTGAAAGTTATTCACCCACTTTTTGCTCATAGTGAGTATGTGATACCTGAATTAACAGTTCACATGTGACATCTGGGCTGTTCTAAATTGCCCAAAGACAAGCCCATATATGCTTTTCTCATCAGAGACCCAGCCCTGAGTGCACTAATTTAGCTTCTGTATGCTCTGGTTCCACGTGTGGTCATTTTTGCCCGTTATTCTGTGTGAAACTTGGAATTATAGAAATGTGTGTGTTACAATAATGTTCATGTGAGGTGAGAATGTGCCCTGAGCTTTTTACAATATTGACACATACTTTGGTCTGCTCATTGTTTAAAGGATGCATCTGAAGAATAAAATTTGTGTAAGTGGGTTGATAAACATTGGCTTGGTGGAGCTGTGTTAATTCTGTACTGAGAGATTCTCTACTAATTCTAAAATTCAACAGGCTGGCTTGCAGTCCTAAAATGGTGGTTTGTTAAACTGCTTGATTTTAATAGCCTTTGCTATTATCAATGTAGTATTTCCCTTCAACATGTGTCTGCATTGATCTCTTTGTGTTTAAATGAATAATGGGGTGAGTTAGAATAGAAAACTTTGTAATTCTGCTTCACTTTATTTCTTAGCCAAAGTGAAAGAGAGGAATTTGAAACAGAGTTCAAACAAAAGTATGAACGAGAAAAGATTCTGCTGACAGAGGAAAACAAAAAACTTACGAATGAACTTGATAAGGTAAGTGCTGATTAGTTGAGCCCTGAATTTACAACTATTTTATGCTCTGTACAAATTGGACAGTATGGAACTGCATTGGTTATTACTAACTCTTAACTGAAAGCAGAAATTTATGTTACACAAAAATTTGGTGATTAATATTAGATTTGAATGGAGTATCCACATGCATCTGAACTTGAGAAGACGTGCATATATATATCTGTGTGTGTGTGTATGTATATGCATATATGAGTATTTATGTGTGGGAATGGAATTAGATGGTGTTACATTTTGGTAAGACTAATTCCAGACAGCACTGTAAGCCAACAATAGAGGATTATTTCATGGTATGACCCAAATATAAAAATACATAGTTAATGATGTGATTACTTAGACTACATTTGCATGTCAATCGTTTGAAATACCAGGGCCCCTCCTACCCTTTGAGATTAAGTGTTACTTTGAGATACTAAGAAAATACAAATGATAAGGCATATTATCACACAAATGAAGTGTGTTAAGCAAGAAATAATTATGATTTGTGCATTTGGATTGTCTCTTTATTGTTCATTTTGACAGGTTATTCAAGTTCATTGTGCATTATCCAAATCTTGCTAAACTTGTCTATTCCTTTTGTAATGCAATAGATTTTCTAAAAATATGATGAAAGTACAGTGTTCTTCAAAGTAAGCATGTTTGCATGTCTGTGCTCAAATTACAGTATATTTTCATACCAGTATAAGACAGACAATATATACGCCTATAGGTAGGCTTAGTCCAAGAAAACTGAGAAAGAGCCTAGTCACTTTGATAATTTTTCTGCTCTCTCTCTTCCCCCATTACCTTTGTATTTTTCTTGTCAAATGACATATAATGAGTAGGAATATTTAAATTATAAGTCCATTGAAATGATAAATAGGGTGTGGAGTTACTCATATTTGGAGTAAAAAAGCAAAATAGATTTTAAATTGGCCATTCTTTTATCGTTTTGAATTGTTAATATATTTCAGTACTAAAAGAAGCTTTCACCTGAGATTTATTCTCCTAAGCAGGCCTTCCTATAAAGTCTATCTGGTCTCTGATTTCAATTTGACTCTCTGAATAATTACTTAACATAATGAAGGTTTAGTTCCCAATACCAGCTTGGGTTAGCTGTGGCTTTTGTCTTGCAGAATGTGCCTGTATGAATGGCAGCAATTTGAATGAGAGAGGTTAATTGCTAGGTATAACATATTGTACGTGGAGATGTGCATTTAATTTCAATTTCCCTGTCTGCAAGTAAGTCAAATGAAAAATAAGGGAATGTGAGACACCTGGAGAATCTCAGGACTGTCTCATGCCTGTATCTGTTCAGTCTCTCTCTCCATGGTTACTAAACAAGGGAGAGGTTCAACAGTCTTATCTGAGCCATAACAATTTTTGTGCCTTTGCTTTGCTCTTCTAGTATAGATTTTTCTATACAGAACATTCCACACCTATATGGTGCAAAGCAGAAACCTTCTAAGGGTTTTACAGGTATTTGGAGACTAATTCTCAGAAAACTCATTAAATTGAAAGACTAAAAATGTTGTTCAAGTCCTTAAAAGTGGATTTTCAGTACAGCTAAGGTTATACGAGAAGAGATTCTTATATAAGGTTATATAAGACGTTATTCTGGCTTTTAATATTACATGATGTTTATTGTGATGACCAGTACCAATTTCTAAAGCAGATGCAAGGTGTGGGAGAGGGGAACACGTGGTTTTGAGTCTGCACAGAGATGGAGTCACAGCAGTTTATACTTTTAACGAGTTGTTTAAATTCTCCTTCTCCAGCTCACCGCCATGTTTGAGAGGCTGAGTATGAATAATCGGCAGCTGGAGGAAGAGATGAGAGACCTGGCTGATAAGAAGGAGTCTGTGGCTCACTGGGAGGCCCAAATCACTGAGATCATCCAGTGGTGAGTGCTCTGCTCTCCTGGCATGACAGAAACCCCTCAGCATGTGGTGGGGCTGGTGCTGAGTTTTTGTCTCTGCACATGGCGCTTGGAAGTGCTGAGGTGAAACCTCACGCCTGTCTGGGATTCTGCTGGGGTTTTGGCTGAGATTTTAATAATATACAAATCCAGAAAATTGTGTTCCTCCCTAAAGAGTGAAAGTGTCTCACCAAATAGAGCTTTTCAAAGTGCAGAAGAATCATGGCCTTTGGGTGTGGCTTGTGGCTGTGGAAAAATGCTGAAAGGAATCATGTGCTGAGCTCACGCCTCCGAGAGGGAGCAAGCCTGGGAAAAGCAGTGGCTGAGTGTTTGTGTCTCAGCTTTAATTTCCTTCATCTGCTTGGCATGTGGCAGAATGAAACAAATACAGTGCAACTTTTATGTGATTTTTTTACAAGGAGAGTATTTGAGACCGTACCACAAATCCAGTCAAGTGATGTTTGTAATGGTACTTTTGCTAAATAATGATGTTATCTTTATAGAGTCTTCTGTCCAATTCTATTAAATTAAAGAGAAGAGAAAAAAGGTTGAAACTACTAAGAGAAAAAGATTGTGTATTCTGAGGTTTTCGTCTATCTTTATTTTTCCTCTTCGTGCCTGTTTATCTCCCCTCACCTTTAATGGTCCATTGCAGTGTTTCACATCTACAAAACCCGTTTGCATCCAGACACTTTATTTTACAGATCATCCACTTTTAGGAAGACTTCATCATGATATACTAGTGTTTTTCTGTTACTGATTGATTATTCCCTCCCCCTGTTTTTCCTGTGTTAGTGAAAAAAAAATCTAATTTGTTGTGTCCAGGCAAGAATGGGAAACATTGTTTTAGAGAAACCTAGTTTGGTATTGTTGTCCTGTTAGTTCAATTTTGTTGTCCAGATATAGAGAAATTTGGCTTTTCAATAGTGCCATGTGAATATATAACAAGGCATAGGGGCCATCCTCTGGGTTTCCAGTGTGTTTTAAACAATGTTTGTTGCATAAAAGTATGTAATGCTGATCTGTGTTATGAAATCCAGTTTGTCTCAAGGCATTGTATTTGTAGCAGAAGTTTAAAAATGTAAAGGGTCCACTTTGTGTGTGTTCCTTTTAAATTTTGTCTCTCATAATGGTGATAGTAGTGGACAACCTGAGTCACAAAATTTTTTTTAAAAAATATTTAACTGGTAGTTTAAACAGCTTTTAATTTCTGGCCAATTGGAAATGTTTATTCAGAAAAAAAAATCAAGGTAAAAAGTGAGACAAGTCTATAATTTCACATTCCTTATTGCTTTAAGGCAGTGCTTATCTGTCATATTGCACCGAGGTAATCAAACACAATTTTTCAGATTTACATGTGAAGACTCATATAACTTGGCAGTTATATGAAAAGACAAATCAGAATTAATTGTGGATTGTTCCACTTAATGCAATATAAAAATGTACCAACAGCCATTAAGAATGTACCTTCTCCTTAACTTTATGAGAGTGTTTAATATTTTAAGATGTATTACTGATGTGGTTTAGGCAAATGATAAAGCATTTTTCATATTAGGGATGTCATTGTAAAGGGTAAAAGGGTTTGGCCTTCAGTTTTTTATTATCTCTGAAGATACTTAGTGAAAAAAGATCAGGAATGTGCAAGACAACTTTCTGAATGACAAGCATCATTTTACTGATCCCTTTTGATAACATAGTATCTTCTAAATAGTACAGAACTAAAAACTAAAGAATTATGTGAAAAGGAAAAAAATAGAAGTACTGAGGGCAAACATTAAGGGAATTTTAAAAGTCTGGCTTGGCTCCAGTTTTTCATCACTAAACACATCTCAGTTTTCCCTCCATACTTTTCTCTGCTTATGTTAAATTTTTTTAGCTATGTGAGGCCTTATCTTAGGTCACATTTTTTCCTTGTTATGTTTAGATTTTTCCATGTGTTACTCAGATAATCTAGTCATGTCCATCTGCTGTTCTTAGAATTCAGCACTGAAACTAGGCCCTTCTCTGGGGACCATGGCTGCTATATGAAGTATTTAAGCATCTATTATAATGATAAATATTTTAAAAGAAAAAAACCTCCACCTAATTTTGGAGAAAACTAGTCTTATTTAATCACTCACAAGCCTGTGTTTTCCTCAGAAGAGCATGCAATTCAAGTCTGTACCTGTCCACATCTTCAGTGTGACAATGGAATGCCTTGGTGCTGGCAAAGTAGGGGAGAATTTGTGGGCTCCCTCTTCAAAACTTAACAGATTTCTCACACAATATTACATTAAAATAATGTGTGTTTTGGGTGCATTATATCCAGAAAGGATAGGAGGCAGTAGAAGGAATCAGTTACTGGGTTTGTAAACAGTTTGCTCAGCAGCCTCTGGTAGTTCAAGGGACTTCTTTTAGCCCTGTTTGGGGTAACACAAGCCCAAGAAGTCCCTAAATTCTTTTAAATGTTTTGTCATCAAAAGGATACCTCTCAAGAAATTCCTTTGAATTCACACTTTGGATGGTTAAGATTTGTCACTTTCTTCATGATTCCTGGGGCCCTTCTAAATTGCTATTTCTCTCAGATTTTATAACTTGTGAGTAATTTTAATAGCTTATCACGTTTCCTTTAGCTTTTCCTTGCCTTCTTACTCAGCAATATTGCATCTTTAGGAATAATGTATGAAAACCTTTTAATCTGTTACTATCTCAAGATACCATAAACAAGGCAATATTTTAATATAAACACTTGAATCAGACTTTCACTGCAAATTCTATTGTGGACTCAACAGACCCTCACGGATCATTCAGCCTTAATGGAGCTATTATATTGACGAGTTTATATTAGCCAAATCACTCATCATTCCTTGACAAGAGTAAGAAATATTGAGGCTTTTATAGTGGGCTATAAATTTTCCTGTGGGAGATAGGAAAGAGATTAATTGCACTGGAGCTTAATGCAGTCACTTGAAAAAGGAATATTTTAAATAGCCGTGGTACCGTATTTCTGTGCCTTGCAGAAAGGAGGTCACTGGAAATCTTGGTAGTGATTCCCAGTGTACTTGGCAAGAATCTTGACTTGGGAGGGATTAATCTAACCTAGTTGTACAAGTCCTAAGGTAGACAACTCAATAAATCCCATGACTAGTACTCCAGAAGTCTGATTTTCTCACCACAGGTTGAAAAGGAAACCTACACAACTCATACCAGATGGATAATTCTGTGTCCTTGAGTATGTTTAAGTGGATGAGCTAAATCCTACCAGTTTTACCTGTAGATTGGATGTTAGGCTTAGATTCAGCTGTCTCAGTTGTTTACCACAATATTTAGTTAATATTTTCCTCATCACCCAGATTTTTTGTACCATTGTTGGTTTTATCTTAATTGATCTCATTGAAAAAAACCCCAACACAAAACCACTATCAAAAGGAGAAAGAAAAAAGTACCAACTACCCCCTCCCAACACTTCTAAACTAAATCAAACCAAAAAAAGCCCCAAGATTTGGGTTGGGGCTTTTTGGTTGTTTTAAAATCTGTTGCTCTCAGAAAAAAAAAAAAAAAAAAACAAAACAACAAAACAACCCACACACAAATTGTGAACAAAATATAGCAAAAATTCTGTGCATCTTCAACTGTTAAAAAACTCAAATCATGTAAAATTCTGAGTTTCAAATAGTCAGAAGTTAATTATCTCTAAAATAGAAATTCTGGAGGGCAGGGTGAAATTTCAGGGCTTGGGAGCAGAGGGAAGTGTTAAAAATTTTTAGAGAGGTATTTTTAAAAAACAGATTTTATTGGAGACACCTGGGGAAAAATTAAAAATTAAGTTGGAGACCTTGAGCATACTGGTACAACAACAGAAATTTAAAAGCATTGAGAGACTAGAGGAGTCATGACTGTCAGATTTCCTTGGGGTTTTAAAATCAGGTTAAACAGACCTTGGTGTAAAACACCAGGGCTTTAAGACCACTTCTGTTGAGCAAAATTCTTTAGTCCTCTGGGTCCATTTTGTATTGTAAAGTATCCCAGCTGGAGACCCAGTCTGACTTCCTGAGCATCCTGACAAACACCATACAGGTAGCAGCCAGTGGTTATGGGAAGGTTGTCAGGATGTTGGCTCCAGCCAAAAAGTTAAATTTAATTTTACAGGAATTTCTACCATATTGCTCTTCTGGGTCCTTCGCATTGAGGAACTAAATTTGCAAGGGCAATTATATTGAAAACAGAACAGTTAATCCAAATTTTCAGTAAAGAAAGAAGTGACTGGGTGGAACCTGAAGACCTTTTCTTCCTTTGGTCTCTTGCTGTGCTTGTCAGGGCTCTCTGTCAAAATGAACACAAGGAGAACAACATTAGTCAGAGTTAATTTGCCTTTCTTGCGCTTTTTTACTTTAATTTTAATTTTTAAAGCCTACCAAATGGATCAACCCCAGCAAAACAGTAACAAATAAAAAAGCTCCAAGAGCTCTTGGGTCCACATGATGTTTAATAACCTATGCCATTATTGAGAGAATTTTGCCATCTAGTGGACAACAAAACCACCTCAGTTCCCAATGGTACTGCTTTAATTTGCTGTCTTGCAGAGCTTGAGGAGTTCCCTTGAACTCAGTACAGATATTTGTAAATATTTACTTTCTGTTTTCAATTTCTAGATTTCTGCTTGTCTGTGGAACACCTCTTTTGAGGTTTTTTTTCATGAGCAGCTTTTCAGCATTTGGAGCCTGAGGGCTCTGTGCACCATAAACCAAACAACTGAAGTGTTTCCTCACCTTCCATCAGGAAGGATCTGTGTGACATCATAAAATTGGACATAGAAATTGGGCCCTTTTTTTCTGCAAAGATTTTATGTGTCATTAAAAATAGAGAAACTTCGATGCTGATTCCTAAATCTCTTTCTCTCCTCATACATCAGGAAAGCTTACTCTTACCATGAGAGCCTCACATTCTTTTTATTTCTGCTTAAGCTTTTTTTTTTTACAGTGTATTTAATTATGCACCCACTACCTCCAAAAAGCATCTTTAGCTTCTTCTCACATCTTTTGCCCACTGTTACAGCCTGGGTGGTTTGTGTAGGCTCAGATTATCTTGATCAGATTGTCAAAATGTGTTATCCAAGATATTATGGGAAAAGAAGTTGGTATGTGACTTCCCATTGAGTTCTGATGTACCTTGGGAAAAACGGTGGCTCATTAATATAAAAACTCTCACTGGCTTTTAATAGTCAGGACATGTAGGGCTTCCCTGTATTCCTCCCCACCTCTTGAACTAAATTATAAGCAGGAGACAAAGAAAAGAAGGCCAAATAAATGCCTGTGTTTTCATGTCGGGTGTGAGATTTGTGGAAAATGGTTGCTAATTTTGCTTTTGGCTCCTCTGTATTACAGTAGTCTGTCTTCCTTAAATAAACCTTAAACTGCACACCCAAAAGTCACCACAACCTGCAGATATTTAGCCTGTGGCTTTCACAGTGTGGTCTTGTCCTAAGGCCATGTGGGAAAGCTCTTCAGTTCCTCCCTTGCCCATGACAGTTCTGAGTATGTGCTCCCTGTCTTCCTTGCCTCCTGGCAACTATCTGTAAATCTGTGTTGAAACTTTTATAATTAATGGTAAATTTGCAAGCAGCACCATTTCCATGTTCTGTGTGTTTGTGAACCCTGTAGTATCAGCCAAAAAGATTTACATTGCCTTATAGGCACAAAGGGGGAATCACTTCACTGCAAGATAAAATCAAGCATCTGGAGAATTCTCATCTCCAGTCCAACAGACTTAGGGTTAGAGTTACTTTTAAATATCAGGAAGCAAGGACAAGTTAATTCTCATGAAATAGAAAAAATATAATCCTACTTGCCTATATTTTACTTAATGCTATTTGAGGTTCAGTACTTTCAGCAGATCCTAAACATTTCAGTGTTTGGTGTTGATAAAACTGAACTGTGATCAAGCTGTGGTATTGCCCTGCTGGTCTCTGAGGCAGCTCAGGTACTTGCATAAGGCCTGATGTTGCAGAACTGGGATTGCTCTTCTGTGGGTAAAATGAACATGTTTAGAGCCAGGCATATAAGGAAATTAGGTGGGAGGGATGGTGTTGGGTTTTTTCTGTTTGTTTGTTTCAGGTTTTTCATAAGTTACTTAGTTTCAGTGAGTTAATTTTTTTAGCAACTTTCTTTTCTATGTTAACACCTGAGGCAAAGTGAAGAAAGAACCTTCTGTTGTGATTAATCACAGAAAGTTGTTGTTCTTTCTTTGTAACTGATGATCAAAGAATCTGAAAAACAGGCATGTCTCCTCCTTGTTGTCTTTACACTCAGAAAACATGTCTGGATTGAAAACAAGCTCGGTGGATGAGAGAGCCTCTTCTGACTTATGCTCTTTAATAATATTAAAAGGAGACTCTCCCTGTTTAATTAGCACTTGTTGAAGTAACATCACTGTTCCACTACTAGTTCTCAGAGTCAATTGATTCAGTAAAGTTAACCAGGAATTCCAATATTTTCTGGACAATAATTGTTAATTATTGGTTGTGAATTTTGTCTTAATTTACTCCCTAAAAATAGGTTGAAAGATTTCTTTCTCAGAGTCTCAATTTCAGGTAGATGATAGGTAGTACTTCAATTTTCAGTCTTTTTCTTAGTGATGCATATTGTTTAATGGAACTCCACAAAGCAGCAAAGAATTGGTTCTGTGTGGTTTTCTCTTTGGGCTTTTGTTGTTGTTGTTTTTATCCTTAGGTTTTATGATTCTTTTTGTATTCTGTATTGTATTCTGTTTCTGGTTGTTGGTTTGTTGAAGAGTCTTCTGTTTTTTCTTTAGATTCTTTGGTTAAAACACCTTATTTTTTCTTATGCAATCATTTAGGGTAAGTGATGAAAAAGATGCTCGAGGTTACCTTCAAGCCTTGGCCTCTAAAATGACAGAAGAGCTGGAAGCCCTGAGGAACTCCAGCTTGGGAGCCAGAGCTACAGTAAGACTTTACTTCTATATGTCAGAAGGTTTTTTGTTTGAAAAAAAACACTGATTTGACAGTTTCAGCTGCAGCAATAATCTGTCTGTAGAGTCTATGTTAATTGAAAGTTAAACTTTCCTAGAGCTTCTGAATTACTGAATACCAAATTTATTGTTTATCAATTACTTAAACACCAAGATCTCTATAATGTGATTTTATCTATGTTACAGTTGAAGTAGCTACTTTATAATCAGATATGAATTTATTGAAGGAAATCATGCTTTTGTTCATGAAAACCTTCAAGTCTTTCACTTGTGAAACAAGTGAACACTTGGATGTCCTTTGTAGCTGTCATCTGAATTGAGGCACATTAAAACCAGATTTCAAAAAATCTCTTTGCTTTTGAGATCAGCATAAAACATAAAATTTGTTACTTGAGTTCAGAAATACTACTGCTAACACTACTCTTAATTTTAGATTATTTTGGAATTAATGAACTCTTACATCAAGGACATAATAGACTGGGAAATGTAGTTGTTGAAGGTAGTTACATTCCTCATGTTCAATTTCCTTTCCTCTTACTCTTTCTGATCTAATTTGTTGCTTCTTTCCTAGGACATGCCCTGGAAGATGAGGCGCTTTGCAAAGCTGGACATGTCTGCAAGGCTGGAGCTCCAGTCTGCTCTTGATGCTGAAATCCGAGCCAAACAGGCTATTCAGGATGAGCTGAACAAAGTCAAAGCTTCTTGCATCTCTACAGAGTGGTAAGACTGAATTGTTCTCATGCAAATTTACTTCAATACCTCCCAGGAAATGTCATCAAATCATTGTTTTATCTGCCTTGGCTGTGGAAATTTGATCACCCAGATGAGAAAAAAACCCAACATCTCTCTTCATTGTTTGAACAGCTGAGCACTTCCTGGGGAAAGTTGAGATCTTGGAGACTTTCAGAGGGAACACATTCTCTTTTAATAATATGATCTCTCCTAGCTGTGATAACAAATCCAAATCCATAGTTTGGGTTTGTATCTTAGAATATATTCTTTTTCATTCTGCTGATAGCTGCATTGGGTTAGCTGACTAAAATTAAATATTGCATACTGATTTGCACAGGAAGAAGTAATAATGGTTAATGAACTATTGTAAATTCTTTTATTCCTTCCTCAGACCTCTCACTTTCTCACTTCTCACTCACCACCCCCACAACAGAATTTATTCTGAGTTGTGTAATGCCTGAAATGGGTTGGTAGGAAGTCATTCTATTTTTAGGTGTCCAGCTTCAGCACTGCTGGGTTTTGCAGCTTTAGGAAAGCAGTAGGACAGAGCTGAGATTCAGGTGTGTTACCTGTAAAATGGGAACATCTGGTTCACCTGCCTTGAATGTTTTCCAGGCCAAGTAATGTGATGACAGGCAGAATTGGAAATCCTATAAGGACAGGAGAACCAGTGTTTGCTTTGACAGGCAAGAATGAGAAATGTGCTGAAATTGCAGAGTAGAATTACCTCTCAGCTGTGAGTCAGAAAGCACTGAAACAACTAACTGTAAAGGAACTGAGAAAAAAAATAGTTCAGCTGAATCTATGCTATCACAGGTACTAAATTAGCAAATAAATTTTAATGAAAAACAAGAGTTTTTAAAACATAAAAATACATACAGTCTTTTTTTCTCATTCACATGGATACAAGCTCATTCAATTACTTAGAAATTAGAAACATGAAAAACATGCACCTACTGAATAGATAAATGGCTTTTTTCTGTAAACTGAACAGGTCCCAGTAGATTTATTCAGGTATTTGAAGACATCAGGAACAAGAGTGACTTGTATCTTGGGTTCTCAATACTTACATATATTTTTTGTGTTCTTTTGAAGTAAATTGCAAGAATCTGAGAAGAAGAACATGGAGCTTTTGGCAGACATCGAAAGGCTGAAAAAGGAGACAGAAGAGCTTAGATCAGAAAAGGGTATGGCAACTGATATCCAAGTAAATAGTGTGTCACATTGGTGGGTGCATCTTATCAATCAAGTGTCACCTTGAAACTAAAATATGACATCAACATGTGGGCACAACACTTGTGTGTCAAGATGTACCCACCGTAGTTGCATTTGCACTTCTAACACTTGTAATAGGCCTCAGTTTTGTTGGTACCTTTGAAACCAGTAAGGTACAATCTGAGTTGAAGCTGCATTGTTTTTATTTGGCCTGTGTATAGTGATTTACTGCCAGGAAACTGTCAGAATATAGATATATTTCTAACCTTTTCTCCTTTATGATGGGTGAAGGTATTTAGACATCAATACTGATCATAGTGTTGTTCATCTCTGAGTGTTCTGGGCCTGTCTCCAGAGAGAGTAAACAAGTGCAGAGGAATTCATAGCATTTGTTTGTTTCTGGGATAACTCCATTGATAGGCTTTGCAGCCACATAGTGAGCAGTGTGGTCATGAGTGCTTTGCTGTGGTATTAAGAGCATGTTCTGGGATTACTGTTGCATCTGTCCAATACTATTTTGCATTGTTGCTGGGAGAAGAGACTGGTTTTGGTAATTCTGCATTGAAAAAAAAAATCATTAAGAGTTGAATAATGATTTGGCTGATTCTTTGCAGTTTCTGTAGTAGCTCTAATATTTGTGTCTTATGAGGCACATGGGAAGAAGTATTTTTCAGGCCAAATTGAATTACCTAATTTTCTGCAGTTCTCTGAACTCCAGAATTTAAATACCCTGGCAACAATTGCTGCATTGGGATGTCAAATATTGCTCAGCTTTTCCAACTTAATGGCTGGTTGGTCAATAAAGTATTAGAGTTTACATTCATCTCCTATATATAGGCCTTCCAGTGCTGCTTGATTGGTAAAAATAATTCAAACCTATACAGAGCATTATGGTTCCAGTTAGCAAATAAGACTTAGGGAATTGATACTCCCTCATCTTAATGCTTAGCACTGATACCAGGATTATTCTTCTTCCAAATGCTTGGAGAGAAGCTCTTGATAGCATCTCCCTGGAGACAAAAATACTTTGTCATGTTTAGGTTTCATTTATATGTTCTTGAACTTCCTTAAATATTGTGCATGGTTACTTGACTTCTGAAATCTTTCTTTGTGCTAAATAATGTTGTGAATTTATAATTCATATTTTACCCTATATTTTTTCCAGTGTTTAAAACCTTATTGTTCTGGTGAAATAAACATTTACTCTTTGCTGAAAAGAAGCAAGCAAAAAAGTACTGTTGAAGGAAACATTAGTCATGTTTCTTAACAGAATTATATTAGTAATATTCTGCTGCAATTATTCAAATAGCCTGATAGAAATACACCTTAATCTAAATCATTACTACCTTTGATTTGGTTTTCTCCTAAAAGAAGAAATATATTGCTGTTTGAATTATGAACTGTATAGAAGATTCAAATGTAGTCAGGGTACAGTGGTAGAGTAACTTGCAGTGTGTGGAAATTGATTTCTAGGAAGGGATTATTTGCATTAGCACCTAATCCTTTTCTGTTTATAAATATATTTCAGAAATTCAAATCGGTGGGGAAAAGATTGCTGAGAGTATTCCATAAAGTTGGTGGTGGTTTGAAAATTTGTTTTAGTATTTTACTGTGATTTCAGTGTATTTATATTTTAAAGAGGAAAGTGTCCTTTGCAACTTTATTCGCTGTGGGTTATATTTAGAACATACAGATATGGCTAATCAGAGCAAGATACTGACATTTTTAAAAATAAATAGGTAACTTCTGATAGCATCATTGTTTTGAGATGCACACAGTCTGCAGGCTCTGGTCATAATAAATACATATATGTATGTGCATATATAGCATGTTTATAGGATTGAGAAGAATAGAGTTCATACACATCTGTGAAGTATAAACACACACACAACACCTTGAATTTGAAAAGAAGAAGAAATAAAAAATACCAGTTGGAGCAGGTTAAAGTAAGAGCTGAGGTGTGGCAGCCCCTGCAGCTCCAGGGGATGCAGTGTTCCTGCTCTGCTCCCTGGCCGAGCATTGCTTCAGTGTGTGACAGAAACCTCTGAAACTTCCCCCAGGATTGTGCTGCTGCTGGCCACTCAGCAGGGAGAGGTGGCAGGCACAGAGCATGGCTCAAGGAACCCATCTGGTTTGGAAATGCCATGCTTTTTTTGGCTCCAGCTGTGCTGCCACGGTGGGACATCCCACGTGTCACCAGGGCAGGGGTGGCACTTGCTGGGTTAGTGTATGGTGCAAATGGATATGGGCACATTAGAAACCAGTGCTCTCTGTATGGCAGACGTGGACACACAGTGTGTTTCCACATGGAGCTCTCACCACACACATCCTAGCTTGGGAAAGGTTGATTAAATACATTCTTGTTCATTAAAAAAATCATCTACTCTGGAAAATAAACCAAATGCGCGGCTTATTTCAAAACACATAGGTGCTTCAGGTGGACACTCAAAATTCCAATTCAGCAAGGCAAAGGTCCTCCATGAGAAGGTCATATTTTCTGTAGCTTATAAACCTGCTGCTGTTTTCTAGGTGTAAAGCACCAAGACTCACAGAATTCTTTCTTGGCATTTTTGAATGCGCCTACCTCTGCTCTGGATCAATTTGAAGTAAGTGCACAGCTATTCTAACTCACTCAGTGGAACTGCTGTTGTGTGCAGGTCCTGTGCATATTTGCTGAGGGTTTGCTCCTGTATTTTAATTGTATTGCACCAATAATATTTGTGTATAATAATTATTTATCATTTACAGTGCTGGCTGTCTTCTCTTGAATGCTTGTAATCACAGTGAATTCTGTCTCAAACCTTGAATGCAGAAATTTGCCTGATTTTGCAGTAAACATGAAAAGCATAGTTGTTCAAATGGCTTTCCTTTGTATTCAGAAAATGCTAAGTAATGCAGGCGGTGGTTTGGTAAAAACAAGAAAATACCAAATCACCCTTGATTGTATCCCATGAAGTCATTAGTACTGTTTATTAGGTTGTTTTCATCATCTGTTCATTTACACAGATCTGTAAAATCCAGATAATTGCTACTCATTTCCTCTCCACAGATCCTTTTATTTAAAACATGAATCTGTTTCATACCTTTGTCACTTCTAGACAAAAGACCAGACTAGGTAGAAAGCCTGGCAGGAAAAAAATTGAACAGTATGATACATTTATTATCTTCTTTTCTAATCAACAGTAGGCAAAGCATCATCTTTCTTTTAAAAGAACAGTTGAGGGGAAATATTGGTCAAACTGAATTCAGAGGATACAATGCACCACCTTTACAGTTAGACATTAATCTACAATTTGCCCAGTTTTTCCTATTGCAAATACAGCATCATCACATTTAGCTATGAAAGAGCATAATCCCTGCTGTTACTGCTGACCCAAAATTCTCTCTTTTCATTATGTATTCACTAATTCATTGTTCTCTCTTGAAGTCCTCACAATTGACATAGCTTTTAAGTTTTCCTGTGTAAAAATTTATCTTATAAATTACTTTCAGTATAAGAATCCTGTTGAGAGTATAACAATAATACTTTATTGAGTAAATGCTGTAAAAAACACTGGTTTCTTTACAGATAGTACATTAATTAATTGTCTATGAAAGGCAATTAATGAAAACGTACTGAGGTAATTATTACTGCCACTGGTTATTTACAGTTCTTTATTTTTGCACTTTTATTTATACTGAACAGTTTTCTTCATCCTTTTCTTTCTCTCTCTCTCTTTTTTTTACTGCTGTGTTCATTAAAATAGGATTCCTTTTCCTCCTCTTCATCCTCATTGATTGATTTTATGGATGACGTAAGTCTGACTTTAACCCAGTAAATCCCTCAATAACAGATCACTTGATTGATTTGGAATATTCAAACACTAATGCAGTCAACTTAAAAAATCTGCACATGCAGTGGAGAACAAAGTATTTCTGTAATAGCACTCTTACACCTATTTATATGGATAGGTGTTTTGTTTTGAAATAAATGCTTTTCTTAAGGTGCAGGTGAAGAATTCTTAATTGCAAACAGTTTTTCTGATGGGGAAAAGCTGCTTTTAGGCCTTCTCTATTGATATGGCCTGTAAAAAACAGTTCCAAAATCATCAGCACATTTGTGTATTTAATTCTTTTGCTTCATATTATTCCTTTATCATAAGTTGTTTCCATAAGCTTTCTAATCACTTCTCTTAAAAAGTTTCCCTTCCATACAGTTAATTTCTGTGTGCTCAAATAAAATATTTTCTGGTTTTTAGCCTGCATTGTGAGAAGTCATTTTCATTATGACTGAAGTGAACTTACTACTTTTTATTGCCATTTGATATGCAGGTTTTTTGTCAGGACTTTTAAATATTTAAACAGTTTAAATATTCCCACTAGTTAATTGCATACTAAGGGAATTGAGTTAAAAGCTAAGAATTGACTGCATTATATTTCTTCCAAACTGAAGTAGTAGGCCCATAAAAGTAATTTTTAATAAAATCTTTGAAAGCCAGGTGTATAGAGCCCCATCCATTACAGCTCTGTAGGAATAATTGTGTGTGTGTGTGTCTGTCTGTGCTCGTAGATGTGTTTCTGCATATTATACATACATACATTCACATATATTTATACATATGTGTTTAACACAGTGTAATCCCATTGGCATTGAAATTAGATAAAGTTAATATTGTTTGAGAAGTCTCTGCTGTGAAGGGTGTAGCAAAGAGGATGAGGTAAATGGGCCTTTTCTGCTGTTTTCATTTCCTTTTACATACTCTGAAAAATGCTTTTCTCCTGCGTGCTTTTTCTCTGTAAATCAGGTTTATACCTCAGACAAAATGTCAAGGTTCTTTTTTGGTGTCATAGTGGAAGGCACTTCCCTGCTTTTTTGTATAGCATACAGAAAGCTTCTGGCTTGCTGATAGTGTTGGAATTTTCTTACACACACACAAAAAAAAAAAGAGAAAAAAAAGAGGTACAGTTTCCTGTCGTGTATATCCACAAAAAACAAATACTATTTATATTCTTTATCTGGATTAAAGAAAACACGTTCTGTGTTACCTGAGTATTATGAGCACTTTGTTTGTATCAGCAGGTTCTTGAACAGAAATTTATCTTTAAAAATATCTAAAACACTCCCCTAAACCCTATTAAAAGAGAAATAAAGGACATATGTGGCAGTTACTGATAATGTTCTATTTTGCAAGGAGAAGCTTAGGACATGGATATTTTCCTGGTTGCTCTCTAGTTAATTCTGAAGGACTTCAGTACTTTATTTCTTATTTATTGTTGCTTGTTTTTTGGGGTTTTTTGGGTGTGGGGTTTTTTTGGGTTTTTTTGGGTTTTTTTTTTGAGAAGGCAGCAATTTTTTCCACAAGCATTTTGACAATTTTGTTTTTTTTATTTATGGAAGTGAGTCATTTTCAACTGCTGGCATACATCCTTTCGTAGCAATTCTTCTTGATTGGTCCACCCAGATCAGATCTTTGCAGACTTTTTAGTCTTGGGTAAAGGTTCAGATATTAATATTGTTTGCCTGTAGAGTCAAATTTCTCCTGTTCCATCTTCAATTTGAGTCCAACAGGAGTGGGGTTTTTTTCTCAGTTGCACTGGGCAAAAGAAATCTCTGGGCTGGACTGGCCAGGGGCTCATGTCTCTAACACCAAGGCAGAATTCTCTCTTATCTGACCAAACTGCAGAAAAAGTAGAGTTGGCTGCTCAAAGGTGGGAAGAGCACCTTGCAGAGAAATACAAGACATTCTCTCTTTGTTAGAAAGAGAGATAAAGCTGTTATCTGTGTTAGTAGATGAAAAGTAATGTCATCCAGTTGTGCTGTGAAAGTCAGTTCTGCATCTTTGATTTATTGGACAATCACTTGATTCATTCATAGCATAATTTATAGGCTGAATTATCTAAATGAATGGTTATTTATGATTTAGCTCACTGAGTTGGTTTAGTATCAATATATTAGATGGACTTAAATTAAAATAAGGCTATTAAAACTCCCTGCCCTGGATGGATGTGACCTCCATTCCCTTCCCAATGACTCTTATTGGCAGTGGTTACCTTGAAGGACAGCATTTCTTGCAGCATCTCCAGAAGAATTAACTTCTCAGTCAAACCTGAGATGTCTGAGTGTTCATTGGGGTCTTTGTAAGACCAAGGAAGGATTAGAATCCTTAGGTCAGTGCTGCAATATTTCATGGGGTTCAGGAAAGCCTCTCTTGTAATCAAAAACCCCAAGTAAGTATCTCTGTTGGCCTGGATTGTTTCTTCAGACTCTGTGCCTTATTAAGGAAGGACAGAGTGTGTGTAAAATAAGGTGCAGGTGCAGTTGCAAGGCATTCCTTGCAGGATCTCTGAAGTCTGTTCAGCACACAGATGTGCACACTACACTGGGTTTCCCAGGGTGAGTATGTCTTGTGTGTCTGCCATCCAAATAACATAACTATTTATAGCACTCTCTGAATGACTGGAGTTAATTTTAATTTTTCCAATGAGGAAAACAGTAGTTTTGCAATTTCTGCTGGAGAGAAATAAAAATAGATGTCCTGCTCCCTCTGTAGCCTGCAGATGCTGAGGAGAAAGTGGTAGCTCACTACTCAGATGAGCAGCACTCACTGTTGGTTCCTGCCTGGAAAAGATGCTGGGTCAGGCTGGCAGAACTGGTGCCTCAATCCTTCTGGCTGTGACAGCCCACAGGTTCAGAAACCATCCTAGTCTGTCCTCTGCACACAGGGGAGTAGGAGTGTGTTTGCAGTGCCTGAATTCCAGTCTGGGTGGGGAGGGAAGTCACCCCCAGTGACTGTAGGAGACTAAACCCTGCTGCTGTCCCTCCTGTGTGTTGCAGGCTGTCTCAGTGACACTGTCTGGGTGTTAAGTCTCCTGTGTTCACCAGAAGTGTCTGACAGTGGAAGTGTTGGGGTTTGTTTCTTTGCCAGGTGGATCTTTGTGAATCCCACTAGCTGTGAGAAGCAATCAAACTTGTTTTGTTTAAGGATGAATTTGTGGTTATTTCATAGCAATAAAATGGAATCCCATTTTTCCTTGACAAAATTATTTTTCCCTCACACTCAAAAATACTATTTTTTGCCCTGTTACTAACACATTAGGAATTAGAAATAGATTTCTTAAATCCTCCTGCAATCTGTCCTTGCATGCAGTCCCCATGGGCTTTGCTAGACTAAACAAATCTGGGCTCTGCAAGTAGCCACAGAATAATAAATGATGTTCTGAATTCTTATTGTTGCACAGAATAAGTCATAGTGGTGTGTGGTGAGAGCCTTGACTTCACCTGCACGTTCATAATTGAGTAAATCTGGTTCATAATGATACTTTAAATTGGACATATTGTGCCTCCAATAGAAGACTTTATTCATCTTGTTCAAAGCACAGAGATGCCAACTGCAAATTAATGGTGCAGCGTAGTCTGCAGCTTTGCTGCTGTTGTCCAGTGTAAGACTGTTGACTTGGAATAGCTGTTCCTTTTTTTTTTTTTTTAATGTTTTTTCCTTCTTGTTAGCCCAGAATAGCTTGTTTTTAAAATCCTTGTAACAGTGAACACGCCTGTGTGTGTATAAACACTACCTGTGGAGATAGAGTGAGGAATTCTGAGGTGATGTATGTGTCACTGTTTGGTTTTGTAACATATTCTCCTCCTCTCTTTGTTAAAGCGCTCTCCTTCCTGTATTCCAGCTAACAAAGGCAGACGTGTAAGAGGCTGTCTTACTCTATGTGGCCCTTTATTTTTTGCCTGTTTTGTCCATGCCTATGTTTAATGTATGGATTGTGTATTTACCTCACTGCATGTCTTGTGCTGCTGCTGCTGCTGTTTGCTGCTGCTGCTGCTGTGCTTTTTGTTGTTTTACAGCCGTGGCCTCAAAGCTTTTGGATTATTTCATTTGGCAATCCTATGAGCAGAATATCTCTGAAACTGGAGAAGATGCTTTGGGTACTTTCTGATTTTTATGTGAAAGTTCTGTGTGGAAGCTGATGAGGCAGATGCAGGTTGGGAAGATGAGCAAACATCAAATGAGAGCCTGTTTGTTTCCTTGCCCTTAGCAGAAGGCACATGTTAAGTCATGGGAATTGTCCATAGAAGGTCAAAGTTTGGCATTTGGGGGGAACATCACAGCAAATGATAGAAAATATCACAGTATAAAGATAAATAAACATGAAGTGAGAAATTGAGTAAATGGAGCATCAAGGAGGATAGGAAAAATTCATACAAAGAAAACAGAGATGGTTGTGTTGTAGCTGGTTAAGCTGGAAAGGTCTATGGTGTTTCAAAAATCAAGGTGGGTTTTTAAGGGTTTACAGATGTTATCAAAGCAGACTCAGTGAGGATGAGTTCCTGCCTGTTATGCTATGTCCATTTTAATCTCATACTGCCACTTTTGTTTCTTTTATACAGATATGATGGAAGGGATAAGTAAGCATACACAGCATTTCTGTTGAATGTTCAATAAACAAACAGCAATGCCCATCAGACTAATGATGTCCTTAGCCATGCAGTTCAAAGCACACTGCTGACTCTCTCAGGCAAGGTTATTTTTGTTGGTGGTGCCTCCAGTTGAGAAGTTCTCTCTCTTCCAGATGTGTTTATGCACTGGCCAGCTTTGGCTCAGACCTACACAGTCCTGTGGAAGACAGCAAAGCTCTTGCAGTTTGGTAGGAAATAGTGAAATCTGCTTTGGGTAATCCAGTGGATTAGTTTAAAACCAGTTTGAAAGGTGCTAGCATGGTCTTCATAAACTGTTGACCATAGTTGAGTCAGGTTGCTTTTGTGCTTGGTTCTTCTCATTAAAGCCAGGACCCCAAGATCACTGCAGCAATACAGCTTAAAGCCTTTGTTTCTGCGCTGAAGGTGGTGATTAAATTCCCTTCTGCAGTGGTGGATCAGGTTCTGTGTGTTTTGTGGGCTTTTTATGTTTGTAAGTAAAGTGAAAATGCATTTGTTACTGTTTCAGCAGTTGTCTTCAACCACAAAGGTTTTGTAGCACATTCCAAAAAGGTTCCATCACTGATATCAGGCTTGTACTACGTTTTTTCATAGACACCATGAAAACTCTTTGGTATGCAGATGCTGCTTTGAAAGGGAAAGCCCTTGGAGTGTCTGGAAACATTTATGAAATGATAGATTAGATCTCCAGGTTTAACTTGTAGGAAAAAAGGAGTGTCTGTTTCTTGCTATGAAAAAATTTGCCTGTAGTTACTCACTGGGCTTATTTTTTAGTAACATTTTTAAGGAGGAGGTAGAATTGCTGAAGGTTAAACAGTCTTTGTGTGGACTCCAAGTTTTCACATGTTTAGACTGGATTAAAAAGAAGTTTAAAATAATTGAAACATGTTGCATTTGAGGATTTACTACTTAAAGGCATCAGTGTTTCTAATACTGGGTAAAGCTTTCAATTATTATTTGCTTCTGATAAATCTGAGTACAAAATGTTCACTTTACTGCTACTTTTTGCCTGAATGCTTGAAACACATGATCTATGTGTAGTAAACAGGTGTATCCCAGTGTGAGAATTTCCCATTTTCATTTCAGAAATGCTTGCAGGCATTTATTAATATGCCTAAGTTGATTAAACTGATGAGCATTGATTAAACTGATGAGCATTCTCCACCAGATAATTTTTTTGGAAAGATATGGTAAAACTAGAAGCCATCAGACTTAACTCACTATTAAAAAAAAAATAAAATAAAACTAGCAACTGCACCTGTTGGCTACCATGACTGAGCTCCTGAAGAACAGGACTGTATGTGCATGTATAAAATTGGCTTGGCAATATAATTGATTCCCAAAAAGCAGTAAAGTTTGTGGAATTCTTGGTATTGTCAGTGGCAAATGAGATGAGAAACACTGGAATGTTCAAATGCTTTCTGTAAACATGGCTGCATATTTTAGTTTGTCTGCAAGCTAGGCAAATCCTTGACAATGCAGAACTGATGATAGCATTGCTCCAGAAAATCAAGGCATGCCATGAAGCCTTCTGCAGGCCTGCAGCTTTTACTTTTATTATTTGTGGGAAAAAAGCATTTTCACCTTGGTTTTTTTTTTTCCGTGATATAATTTTACATAGGAAACTTTACAGAGATGTCTTGTTTTCAAGGAAGAATCATGCCTTCTCTGATTTTTTCAGCTTTGCTAACAAAAGATGACTTGTTACCCAGGATGCCTCTTTGTACCTATGTCCCTTGTTCAGTGTAGCTCTGTGTTGGGCTTAGTTTCATTCTGTATATCAAGGACTAGGAAAACATTCCCCAGAAGAATCTGTGTTCCTGGTAAGGATGTTTCTGTAGTTCAAATGGGGTGCAAATCCCCCTCAGTTCTCTGTGAATATAGTTATCAGGATATACACTGCTCTGCCTTTTCTCCTTGTTTTCTTCTGAATATGTTTGCAGGAATTTACATGGGCTATGTGGAAATTCACTTCTAACAAATCCATGCTACCAGTGGACAAAATCCAGTAGTGTTCAGAAAACATTCACCCTTGAAAAATGCTGAATTGCAAGTGTCTTCAAGTGGTTATCAGGGCCCTGAACTAGCAGCTCTTATGCATGTGCTCACCTCTCAGCAGAAGCCTTGGCGTGTTTACATGCAACAATTTTCATTCCATTTTGTTGCTTTTAATTAGGAAGTTGCTTAAAACTGAATTTTTATCCTCTCAGTTCTCTCTTAGGAATTCTACTGCTTCCATATCTTATTTTGGTAAGAGTTGAGAATTCTTTTTTAATGATGTCTTTGATTTATTTCTTTGGTTGTTGTTTTTTTTTTTCCTCTCTTGAATTGTTCTCCTAGATTGATTCAGTTGAGAATTTTACATTGTCTAATACTCCATCACGGGATGAAGATAGCAAGTCTCACCTCCACTCAAGATCAAGGTCTCCTTCCACAGCCAGTGAGATTGAACCAATTGAGGTACTTCAGTGTTGAAAGATATTTGTCCTTTTTTTCCCTCTTTTTAGGAGTAACAGTGTCACTTGTGTAAAAATGAGTACTGCAAGTCTTCTGTTGAAGGTGAAGCTCATTCTTCTGCAGCAAGACTGTTTAAGACTTTGTAATGGCCTTCTGCACTAGTGGTGAACTGTGTTTTGGGGAATGCTCTATTGCCTTTCACCTATGGTTAATTGAATAGGAATGAGAACTATGAATCAATTACTAGTTATGGTCTCTCTTCATAACATATCCTCAGTCATGAATATTTAAGAAATGTTGGCACAAAGATTGTTATAATATAGTTTTTAAAATTGCACTTTAAAGCCCTGCTGGAAGTCTTGTTATTATGAAATGTTAGCCAGATTCTGCAACTATAATAATACATTGATGTAATAATTTATCCCCTTTCCCTGATAAAAAAAAGGTGTGTTTTCTGATATTTTATATTAGAAAGTACCTAATCAGATGTTTCAGACAGTGTGAAGTTGGTTTTAACATTTAGAAGATGAATCTTGCTGAGAAATATGATTTGTTTTTCTGAGTCCTGCATGAATCAGTTTGGTTTCATGGCTTGGATGCTGGGGAATGGGGTGGGTGGGACAACCTGCTTTTCTTCCTTTATCCAGGCTTTCTTTGGTAGTGTGTTCTTGATGTCTGATTGATCTTTGGGGGCTCTGTGCAGGTTACAGATCATCCTCCCCGTTCCATCCACACGCCCACCATGAGGACAGCGTACATTGGCTCGGGACTCTCCGCACCAAAGGTACCCTTTTGTCAGGTGTTCCCACTTTCTGTGTAGCAAGGGCAACGTGGCACTCCTGGGCTACAGCTTCAGCAGAGCTGCTTATCACACTGATCTTACCAGAGCTGCCTGGAAGGGCGTTTAGGAGATGAATATGTGGGGTGTTGATGTGCAAGCCAGTTGCCCTCTAAAATTTAAAACCCTTGGTTCATACATTATGGGGTGTGACAAGCTGCATTAGGAATTCCACAGGCATTGGATTGTAGGAAAAACGTAGTTTGGACACCAGAAAGAGGTAAATGAGCTAGAATGTGAAGAAAGCAAAGTGCCATCCTAGGAAGAGAGTGTTTTCTGCCATGTGTCTGACCAACATGCCTCTCTACTCTTTGCATACAAGAAAGTCTCAGATTAGCATGTCTGTGTGCTAATTAGATGATTATTCTTGAGAAAAGGCAAAGAGTTTCCCTAAAAATAAAACCACAGATTTGCCTGTTTTAAAGCAGTGTAGAGTGAGCACTACAGGAAGAGATTTCCAATTTTCCTGTCTTATGGCTTTTACCTGCATAAGTACTGATTTTCCATCAGTTGTTGAAATCATTTTGCTGTTGCTGAACATGCCAGTATATGCTAATTCCCAGGAGATTATGTCTATTCAAGCAAATGAAGAATAAATACAGGCTTTAAAGGAAAAAATTTCTTGTGAAAGTTTTGAAAATGACTCAATGGTGTAGGAATCTTCTGTATATTTAAAAATAACAGGTTTTTTTTGTGCAACTAATAATGAAGGAAGCCTTTCTAGTAGATCTGCTTCTCTGCTTTGATAAATTGCAAAGTGACAGAAGATTCACTTGTGTAAAAGAAAGCTAGAAATTTTGAGCAGTGCTCTGTTGGCAGCGTCTTAGTAGATCAATTAAAAAATACTTGAAGTGCCCTTGGAATCATGTGAAACAGACTTTACTGTCTACATAATTTAATTTTTGCAAACATTTTGCTCAGTAAGTAATGACTTGCTTTATAATTTATTATGTCCCCTAAAGAACATTCTTATTTTTTGATTGCATCAGTGTTTAAAGCTGGGTGTTGTTTCCCTGCAAGTGTCAAAACAGAACATTCTGTAGACAGAATGCTGCCATTGTAACAGTAAAGCTGTCATTAAATATGGATAAGTTTGAGCCCTTAGCTGTGATATCTTATGCTCTGAAAAACAGGAAAGTGAGTAAATTTTAACATACCTACTCTCCAAAGTAATCTGCAAAATTGTCTTGCTTGAGATCACATGAATGATCAGGGTTTTTTTGGGACAGTCTTTGCATTGACCCTATGCTCTGGCCTTTCTTTATTAACTCCCAGTTATTTGCTGGGAGTTTTTATAGAAAAGCAAAGCAGCTTCCTGGATTTTATATAAGGCCATCTGTGAGTCATCCTGCCACATTATGTGGGCTCTTAGCCTTTATATAGCAGCATCAGCATGGCCATCCTTGAGGAGAGGGAGAGAATGAAACCACTTACTCATGTACTCTGTGTTCCCAAGGAATAATAAAAAAAGAGAAACCCTTTCAAAATCAACTTCATCTATCAACTTCAGCTCTTGCCTTTAGGTTGGGTGTTCTGAATTGCCCCTGCTAAACACCACAAAAGGGGGCTCTGTCAGGGCTTTCTGGCATAAAATTTTGAAAGAAGTCTGCTATTTTTCTTTTAACTAAGGCAGTGCTCCTGACAGAGGAGCACTGAACTTGCAGCTTAGAAAATACTGTCATGGGTTGACCTGGTGACAGTCAGGTGCTCTCCAAGCACATGATGATACACCTTCAACTTCTGCAGTGTAACAGAATCACTTGGGCAGCTTTCCTATCTGCAATGGAAGCAAACTCATGTTCTGAAACAGGGTCCAGTTTCCATGGCTTTGTTTACAGAGGATGTTTTAAATTATCAACAGTGGGCGCAGTGATAAGGAAATTCTTTTTGGCTCAGATCTCATTTCAGCAAGCACAAACAAGCAGCCTGATGAAATGCACCTGTGCACTCTTGTCTGTGAAAGAAATAACTGTACTTGAGAAGTGTTACAGGTGCTAACATCCTTGTCTGCTCATTTCACAGCCTAAAGCTCACCAGTTTGTAGTGAAATCGTTCAACACACCAACAAAATGCAATCAGTGCACATCCCTGATGGTTGGTCTGATCCGACAGGGCTGTACTTGTGAAGGTAAGCTCTTGGGAGAGCACAGCAAGTGTGAACTGAAGTTCTTACAGATGCAAATGGCACAGGAAATGTAGTGTGGTGATGCAGGAGTCTTCTGCTTATATTTTGAATAGCAGTATATTCTCATGCTTCAGTCTTTAAGACTAGAAGCCAAACACTTTGAACATACCTAAGAGATTGCCCAGTTGTCTGGGGACACTCTTATTCCAATTGGTGGTAGGAGAGCTTAGTTCAGTGTACTCAGAATAGCAATAGGGGCCACAGGTGGCCTCCTGAGTGGTCACACCAGTTTTATGTTGCAGGGAAATATTTAATAGACATCCATTCTGACTTATTCCAGACAGAAGCAGAATTGGTAGTGAGTGGCACTTATTCTTGTTTGTATGCACACAGAATTATGCTTATTATTTAAAGGATGTTCCAGTGTTTTGTTTACTAGTAGAGTTGGGCCTAGAGGACATAATAGAGATTAGATTAGGGTCTTTCTTATTTGGATGAAAGCAGGTTTATCCATAAAGTATCTGAAAAAGAGAAATTTGGGATTAGAGCAGATAAAAGCATGAACTTTGCTGTGTGCAGACTTATATTCCTGTCTGTAGCAAAGTTCAGTGAGATAATCAGATGCTGGTCAAAAAAGAAAAGGGGATTTCTTCATAAATCTCATCATCATTAACCCAACTTTTGCATTGCACAAGAAATAACCCCCAAATCTTTTTGTTTCTTCTCCTCCTCACAAGTGTGTGGATTCTCCTGCCACGTGACCTGTGCAGACAAGGCTCCTGCAGTATGTCCAATCCCTCCTGAGCAGACTAAGGGACCTTTGGGAATAGATCCACAGAAAGGCATAGGAACAGCTTATGAAGGACATGTCAGAGTAAGTAGGAGGCAGCTGCATTTGGGGCACTAACATTAAATTCATTGTTTTCCAGAGCTGGCATTACTTTGATTATTGGGAGGATAGATTCAATTACATGTTAGGGTCACAGTTTGGAAATTAAGATTTAAATTTTCACAAAGCAACTCTTAGCATTGTCAGCAGTGATCCTCTCTCCATCTCTGTTGGTCAATGTGCTGTGGGTTGGTCTTGAGCAGTTCCATCTCTGCAGATCAGATCATCTTCCAGGCTTTGTGAGTTTTTTGAGTCTTTCTGCTAGAACTGTCTGTGGTTACTGGTGTGGATATTTGCACATAAATATTAAAAGATTTACTCAGCATTGTTTTGGCCATAATTCTGTGGCCAGCTGAAGATGAGTTTTTGTCTTCATGTTTGTTAATACAGCTCTGAATGAATTTGTGAAATGAGAAGAAAGAATCTGTGATGCTATTAATTTATTAAGTAATATTTAAGTAATAAGTAATAATTGTGCTGTTTGTTGGTCTTACTCACTGTCTGTGTTTGTTGGTCTTACTGCTGCTGGGCTCTCACATATGTTGCTTAACATCATCACTGAATTAAAACTTTCCAGCCCAGATGAGCAAACTGATTTTTGTGCTGTTTGATTTTTTGATAGCATCTAAACTTACAGAGAGTTGGTCTGAATTTATCTTTCTAAAGGTCCCAAAGCCAGCTGGAGTAAAGAAAGGTTGGCAGAGAGCACTGGCAGTGATCTGTGATTTTAAACTCTTCCTGTATGATGTAGCAGAAGGAAAAGCATCTCAGCCCAGCGTGGTAGTGAGTCAGGTCATAGACATGAGGTAAGCTGTTTGCTGCTGGTGGTGGGAGCTTGGCAGAGGCACTGGGAGGTTTTGTTCTGCTTTTCCTTTTTGTCAAATCAGTAAGCAAGCTCCAGAGCTTTTATGAAACCCTTTAATCCATGTTGAAAGGCACTAATTTTCTGGGATAAAAAAAAATAAAAGAGCACTTAGCAGTTACTTGGAGTTAGGCTGAACGACACCGATTTGTTCCTCTATGGATGTTAAAACTTCCATTACTACATCATGTGCAAAGAGCATCTGTTCAGCTGCCAGAAGATCTGGAATGAATAAAGAATTAAAAATAACACCATTTTGGAGTTGAATAGAGTTTTCAAAGACATAAAACTTTGTTATAGGGTAAATGTATTACAATTTTTGCTTGAAAAGGGCTGAGTAGTTTGTTCCCACTATCTTCAGTACTACTGAAATACTACCAGCCTCACTAAAGGCTGAGGATATCTAACATAGCAGCTAAGTAAAGCTCATCTCTGATCTAAGTTAGTTCATCCAGGAAGCCCCAAACTGCTGATGGTTATAGCTTCTAGGTGAGTTTGGATTTTTATGAGAGTTGGAGAGGTTGTTCTTTATTCCACTTATTTTTTAAATTGGACTTTTTCTTTAAAGGTTTTAATTTATACAGATTAAAAACAGTTACAGAATATCTGAATAGATTTATTTCCGTCAGCATTTACCAGGAATTAATTATGCAACATTGCATTCGTGAGTTTTATCTTCAGATACAGATGAAAGGATAATTTAAAAAATCAGATTTCAGTGCTGACTTGTTTCCTTCACTAAACAAGGCTATTGAAAAAGTAAAATCCAAACATACAGATTTTGCTCATTAACTCTTTTCCAATTATGTTTATGGTCTCCATAAGGGATGAAGAATTCTCAGTGAGTTCTGTCTTGGCCTCAGATGTCATCCATGCAAATCGGAAAGATATCCCCTGTATCTTTAGGGTGAGTATGACATCCTGGGTTTCACAGGGTGATGTGTGCTGTGACAGCTTGCCAGTATTTTATTTCCCTGGCAAGTTCTGCCCCTGTGGAATCCATGGCAGCAGTAGCAATGCACAGGGATCTGTACATATGTAATTTCTGTGGTAAAAATAGCACTGGTACATCTAGACAAGCATTCATCTCCGTGTGGGTTGTATTTTTTCATCTTCACAATAAGACGTATTTTCCTCCATTTCTTCTTAGTCATTTGAAATTCTTCTGTTCATTATGACCTTGTACATTTTCATTTCCTCAAGTTGCCCTCTGCTTCTCAATTTAACTGACTGGGTTATTGCTGAAGTCTTTATTTTTTATACTTTTTTTTTTTTATGTATGCATTGGATATCTGAAAACTCCTATTCATCTGATAGTCAGTATAGAAATTTAGTGCAAAATGCTCATCAAAATTTATGTCTAGTACCTGGTATCAGGATTTTGCCATCACTGGCTTATTCTAATATTCTTATTTTTGTTAGATATTCTGTTAAAGCTTTGACCTCAGTGAAATTTCCTTGATGTCTTATAAGTTTCACTATCATTTCTTTACTGTGCCTTTGTATTTCAGTCATTGTTTTTCCAGTTTTTAGGCTGTTCATCACTCAGTGTGCTGAGAGGAGATAAAGCCTACAAAAGGGGCTTTCCATTTTATCATTAATAGCTGTATCAAATGCATGAAAAGGATCACAGAGCATTTTTTCAATGAAAGCCATTCCTATTGCATTAAATTATTACTCTTAAAAATACAGAAAACTTTATAAAACTGTTTTTTTTTATAAAATTGCTGTGAGAAACAATTGACTACCTTATTTAGAGCAGACATTCATGAATTATAAAATAAATACAAGTGCATTTAAAATAAAGCCAACATTTTCTCTGTTCTTTAAAATACTCACTTCTGTGGGGTCTTGATTAAGATAAGAGTGTTTTCTATTAACTGAAGAGAAATTTTTATTTCCCTAATTCAGACAACTAATTAAAAGGGCATTTACAGGCATCTAATTCCCTTGTAAAAACAATCATCAAGAAGTTATTTATCACTTATGACTTAAAACTATGTTTTGATTTTTGTTTTTGCAGGTTACAGCCTCCCAGCTCTCTGCATCCAGTAACAAGTGTTCAATCCTGATTCTAGCAGATGGTGAGAATGAAAAAAGCAAGTGGGTGGGCGTGCTGAACGAGTTGCATAGGATCTTGAAGAAGAACAAACTCAAAGACCGCTCAGTCTATGTCCCCAAAGAAGCTTATGACAGCACCTTGCCCCTCATCAAAACAACACAGTCAGCAGCAATCATAGGTATGAAGTTATTAAGAAGAAAGCTCTAAGAAAAATGGGTATGCTAAAAGCATGATTTTTTAGGAAAAAAAATGTGTTAGATGGTTATCTACTGAATAGAGAGTAATAGGTAGTGGTTTTATCCCATGTGGGCCTAAGAGAAAAGTGCAAGTTAGTACCCAGTACTTTTGTCAGATCTTTTAAGAGTACTCCCTCTATTCACCCATATTCATAATTATTCACCAATATTCATAATTATGCATAATTTTGACTGAGAATCGGACATCCCTCTTTTGTTACTCTGTAAACATAATTCCCTAACTGGGCAAAATTAGCACTATAGAGTAGGTGTAAATCACTCACTTCAAAATCTGCTGGTGGGACCAGAGAGAAGATGTAAGATCAGAGGTTGAATTTAGTAATTTCAAATAGTACTGCATAAAATATATTAAACTCTGATTATGTAAATTATTTCAATATAATAATATAGTTATTTCAAAGCTGGTGCTAGACTTAAGTTCTCTGAAGAGTTTATTAAAAATTATGTTTCTAGCTGTTACTTTAACTAACAGGAGAAATGGCAAAATACTTCTTTTTGAGAAATTTGAAAGAGTGGGAGTTTGCCAGTTTTTTAAAATACATTAATATATTAGGTTTGGATTTATATACAATTATTTCAATATATTCTAAAAACTGTCTCTGTTAATGAGAATTATAACTATTGTTTATGTGATTCATAAAATACTTCCAAAGAAAAATAACCTTTTTTTTTTTCCTTAATGTCATAGACCATGAAAGAATAGCTCTGGGGAATGAAGAAGGGTTGTTTGTTGTGCATGTCACCAAAGATGGTAAGAAACTAGGAACTGGTAATAATTTCCCTAATACTAAATCATCTTTTGCTTATTCAGTATCTTCTGGTTTCATTTTTCATTATTTACTACATTATCAGCTGGACAGCTCCATGAGAGACCAAAAGCTGTTCTGTGTGCTCTCTGGTTTGGGTATCCTTTCCAATATCAAGGTTTTGGAATGCAGTTGAAGTTTTTTCCCCCATTTTCCCCCAACTGTCTCAATACTGATTTCAGACCAAGTTGCTCAGGGCTTTATCCAGTTGTGTGTTGAAAATCCCCAAGGACACAGGTTCCATGATCTCTCTGGACTGCCTGTTGCCAATAACTCTCACAGTGAAATGCTTCCTTTTTATATTCAGCAGAAACCTCCCTCATTTGAATTTCCTGCTGTGCACCTCAGCAAGAATCATGGCTTAATCCTTTGTGTAACCTCCTCCTTGGTTCTGAAAGTAAAAACTTCTGTGCAGTACTGCAAGATGTGCTAACAGATTGCCCAATTTAATTCAACAAATGACATGTTTAATTGTATGTTTCAGCTCTGAGGCTTTTCCTTCATTCAGTAGTTTTTTGCTATAAACTCTTTCTGAAATGAATGCTGAAATAATACACTTGTTGTTAGTGCATCAGATCTGCTCCTCCCATTTCTGATGAGGAAGAGCCAAAGGTTTATCCAGAATTTGCACATCTGGTGTTATTAAAACACTAGTTTTGATTCTGTACTTTTTAATACTGCAGGGAAGCAATAAAGGCGATTTCTTGGGTGTCACTCTTGCACCGAGGATGGCACAGGAACAGTCAGGAGGCAGGATTGTAGAAAGAGCGAAGAAGGCTTTATTCAAGAGAACCACAGGGTTTTATAGAGTGATATGATAGATTCTGTTTGATTGGCTAACTAACAAAAACACCTTCCTCATACCCTGTCCTTGAGAAGAACAGAAAGGTGAAGTAGAAAAACACTACCTGCAGATTGTTTATACTTAACAAGTTATCACATCCTTACAACTCCCTAAAAATTCTCACAAACCGCTGTGAGAAACGCTTGCTGTTTCTCTCTCTCTGTCCCATGGCATCCACACTTGGATTTCTTTCCTTGCTCATCTTTACAAATACACGTTATAATCAATTCACACTTCACCATTACACGGGGGCTGTGGTGGTGTTCGCAGGGGTCCCAGGGTGAGGGAAGAGATGAGAATCTTGACTCCATGTTTCAGAAGGCTGATTTATTATTTGATGATATATATTATATTAAAAGAAAATGACATATTAAGATAATACTAAAAGAAAAGAGGAAGGAGACATCAGAAGGCTAGAAAAGAAAGAAAAGGAATGATAATAAAATCTTGTGACTGACCAGAGAGTCCAAGACAGCTGGACTTTGATTGGCCATTAATTAGAAACAACCACATGAGACCAATCTGAGATGCACCTGTTGCATTCCACAGCAGCAGATAATCATTGTTTACATTTTGTTTCTGAGGCCTCTCAGATTCCCAGGAGAAAAGGTCCTAATGAAAGGATTTTTCACAAAACATGTCCGTGACAGGGGGCTTGTTTTGATTTTTCTTTCAGAGATTATCCGTGTTGGTGACAATAAGAAGGTCCATCAGATCGAGCTCATCCCGAGCGAGCAGCTCATCGCCGTAATCTCAGGACGGAACCGCCACGTGCGGCTCTTCCCCATGGCCGCCCTGGATGGAAGGGAGACTGACTTCTATAAGCTGGCAGAGACCAAAGGCTGCCAGGCCATCGTTTCTGGGCACGTGCGCCACGGGGCCCTCACCTGCCTGTGCGTGGCCATGAAGAGGCAGGTGCTCTGTTACGAACTCAATCAGAGCAAGACGCGCCACAAAAAGATCAAGGAGATCCAGGTGCAGGGGAACGTCCAGTGGATGTCCATCTTCAGCGACCGTCTCTGTGTGGGCTACCAGTCAGGTTTCCTCAAGTACCCCCTCCATGGGGAGGGCAGCCCGTACAGCCTGCTCCACCCGGACGACCACACGCTCTCATTTATCTCACAGCAGCCAACTGATGCCATCTGCGCAGTCGAGATCTCAACTAAAGAATACCTGCTGTGTTTTAGCAGCGTCGGGGTTTACGTCGACTGCCAGGGCCGAAGATCCAGGCAGCAAGAGTTGATGTGGCCCGCAACTCCATCTTCTTGCTGTGAGTTGTGCTCTCTGTGCATGTGTGTCTGAAGTGATCTCTGCTTGTATTGATATCCACGGGAGGTGGAGTTCTGGGCTAATTACCTGACAGGTTAATGAATGCTCTCAGCCCCTCTCACCATTTTTAATCTAGTTGGAGGTATCAGACCCCAGGAAATTCCTCTGGCTGCCCTGGAGGACTCGAGACTCTGACAGGGGGCTCAGAAGCCTTGGCACGGAGTCAAAAACACCTGTGCCTTTGATTTTAGCCCTTGGAAAAAACAATTACCAACGTTTATATGAGGATTCACAAGCCATGAAAGTTTAAGTAGAATGATAGTTAGTTTGTTACAAGATAGAAAAGTAGAATTTTGAGTTTTTAGAATGGGGGTTCAGAAGCCAAGATGGAGGGATTTGGGTGTGCCTTGTCCTTCTTTCTTCTTCCTAGCCTCCATCTTCTGGGTGATGTTGGCACTTTTGGATTGGTTTAGAGTAGGAGCACACTGTCTAACATAGGTTATAGGTATTGGGAAATTATTGTAAATAATGTACACGTAGTTTTTAGTATAAAAGATAACATCGCCTCTGAGGCGGTCAGTGTGCCTCAACCCAACCTGCCAGACACCTCAGCGAGTCAGAGAAAGAATATTATAGATAACAGCAAATAAACACCCTTGAGAACCAGAACAGAAGAATCCTGACTCCTCCTTCTGCTGCTAGGCTGGGAAAAGAGACTCTGACACATCTCGGGGTCATCATGACCACAGAGACTCCGAGAAGAGGGTTTAATCCTCATTTATGATAGTTCCAACAACTCTGGCACTGACCTCTACTTGCTGGAACACAAAGAGGAATCATGAGTCAGGATTTCTAACTCTAAAACAGCCAAAATTTCAGGTTCAACAGAGGCTAATGGGAGCTTTATGAATTTGCTACCACCAATGCTGGACTGTTGTTATTTAAAGTCTTGGAATGAGATTGTACTTTGGTTCCAGCTTTCTTCATGCTGAGAGTCATTAGGATCTGGTAGTTTGACTTGCTTTTCTCTAATGGTGTTTGTTCCTACTTACTAGTCTGTTTTGTCTTTTCTTTCTTTATTTGTTCATTCTTTCTTCCTCAGCAGGTTTTGTCAACAACCTTCTTTTTCATCTCCTCTCTCCTTTTTCAAAAAGTCACTAAGTTGCCCTCCTGTTTCTCTCTCCCCTTCCAAAATACAATGCATAGGAGGCAATATAAAAAATATATTTCATAACCTTAAGGAAAAATACTGTAATTTTTCAAGATTTTCATTTCCACCAAGTTCTGTTAAACATTTATTGCACCTTATTTCAAAGCTGGGTCTTTATCTCTGTGACAGTTTTAAGGGAAAAAAAAAAAACAAACCTGAATGTTTATCTTTTTAAAGTCTTTCTGAATGTAGATAAAGATTAGCCAAATCTGCACTCAGAGTAGTGAAGAAGCCCAATTCTATGTTGATTTTTAGAATAGTCTGCCTTCTTACCTCACTGTGGCAGCAGTCCAGTCACACTGTAAAGGGGAGGAGTATTTCACCTTGTTTGAATGAAGGCCTTTCTGAGTATGGAGGGAGCAACATTTACAGGGTGTTTTCCAATTCTGGATTTCAAGCAATTTTACACAATTGATTATTTACAGTGGACTCAGACAATGAATTAATCAAAACAGAAGGTTATGTGATAGATTGAAAAATGTGTATTTTTCACACATAGTTCATCTACACTTGCCATTGTTATTTGTGACAGCTTTTTGATTGCCCTAAATGAAGTGATTTGATGATGATTTCCAACTCAGAATGGAGGTGTATTTTATAGCAAGAGCTGTTACATTTAAACACAGCTTGGATGCAGTTGTTAGTCTTGGCAGACTGTGGCAGTCTTGTTGCCGACGTGGAAATACTGAATTCTCCTTTAGAAGTGTTCCCAGTGAAACAAATTTCATCCTGGGGAAATGTGCCAGATAAGTAGCAGAAGATTTCTCTTTACAATCCAGAAAATGAGAAGAGAGAATTAAAGTTAAGGAAACATGACTTTTATGACTGTGTCATGGTGCTTAGTTCCAAGTGATGCTCATTTAGTGCATAGTCCAAAGATTCAGAGCTCAGTTCATTCAACTGGCAGTTATTAAATAGAGTATTTTCCTACCACATCATTTACAATATGTGAGCTCTTATTAAAAATGGGGCTTTTAGGAGGAAAAAAACCTTTGAAATACATCAGGATTTGGCAGAGTAAACCATAATGTTTTAGAGTTCAGAAAGTAGGTTTTCAGCAAAGTTAAAAGTCATGGAGGTTGTAAGTTTTTGGGTGGTGCTGGTTTGCCTTCAGAATAAATTTCTTGGTCATTGTGGAGTTAAAGCACATTTTTCAAAGCTTGTTGTTGGATTGTGGAGCACTGGTTTTATTTTCTTAAATAAATATGGTTGAACTGTAAGAAATTGTCTATTTTGGGCCGTGTCCAAAAGCAGTTGACACAATGCCTCATCATTCCCTCCCAGGTTACAATGCACCATACCTCTCTGTGTACAGTGAAAATGCAATTGATGTCTTCGACGTGAACTCCATGGAGTGGATTCAGACTATTCCTCTCAAAAAGGTAACTTCCCATTTCACTGTGGGCCAAGGAGTATGTCCAGACTCAGTACTGCTTTAGAAGCCATCATTAAAACTGCTTGTGGGAACATAACTGAATTAAAAGAAGAGCTACTGCAAAGAAATGAATGCATTTTTGCTGGAAATAGAAGATAGAAGATGTGTTTTTCATGTGGTTGCTCTGTTTTAGATGAATGGTCAATTTGGAGCATATGGCTATGTTAGATTTCCTGATATTGTTGTAATAATGAGAGGAATTAATTGGCATTAATTACATATGGCTTCATTGGGACTGATTGTGATTATTACCAAAGGATGGTGGATGTCAAGATAATTACACAGGCATTCAAAAATCTATGTCCTACTGCTCCTGAACATATGGTAGACAGACAGGGTTAGAACATTTTGTTTCAGGAAGTAGAAACACCAACAACAAGATGATGTCAGTTTGGCTCTCTTATCAAAAGGAAGATGTTTCTGAAAACTTGACACTTCCTTGGTATTTAGAAGGTGTTTGCTCAGCTGTATTTGGAAAGAAAAGAGAAAAGTCAATTTTTTTCCTTGTGGTTTAGACTGACTTCAGCTTTGTATCAGGGTCAACACAATTCCTTTACTGGCATTCCAATGAGACAGAGCTGCAGGACATTGCCCCTGTGGTCTTGTGTTGGTCATTCAGTTTCTGAGTATCAATTTCTCCGTGCCAGATGCAAACCAGGATATTCTGGCAGTGCTGTGAGGATACATAATGCAAAGATCAAAGTTCTCAGCTATTAACCATCTTGAAGAGAGACCAATCTGGACTTTTATGGGGAAGTTCTTTCTGGTGTCTAAACTTTGAGTTATTAAGCAGTTGGAGCATTTTTTTCCCTACACAGTAGAATGTGATTTAATACTTTGATTAATATTTGGCTCAAGACTTCCCTTTTAATGGAAGCTACTTTCAGCAAACAAAATTACTACACTTAGGAGTCTCAAAAATAGCCATTTATTATGAAGTGTCTGTTTCTACACAATTTACAGAGCGCGGAATGCCTCTTTCACTTTTATGTTGGAAATCACAAATACCAGTAGGTTTTAGCAGTCTGTGTGTGCTCTTATCAAGCTGCAGAGCATTATTGTGACATGGTGCTAACACAAAGTAAAAGCTCAGTTTATTGCTTTGTACATCTAATGGAAAAATTGAGTTGATATATGAAGTAGACTTGTAACACAACTGTCCATTTAAATGCTGGGAGGAATGGTGTTAAGCCTGTGTATTGAAGTGGAATTTTAAGCAACTCCCTCTGTACTCATTCTCAAAAAAAGAAAGAGTTTAAAATTCTTTTCAACTCTTCTTTGTGGCTTTAATGACTTGGAATTGTTACTCTTGAGAGTGTTACAAGGACTATTTTTTCTTGTTTCAGGTACGACCCTTGAATACAGAAGGATCACTAAACCTTTTAGGCCTGGAGACAGTCAGATTAATATATTTCAAAAACAAAATGGCAGGTAAGTAAGGAGAAGCCAATTTTCATCTTTCACATTTTTGTTTAGAAAGAGCATTTGTCTGCATCTGTGCATTTCATAAAGGAATCTCTTAAATGTCTGTGTGCTTGTTAACTTGGGAAGAAGCCAAAGCTTATGGATTCCACAGTGATTGCAATGCTGCCTCTTCTCTGAACTTCTTTTGCCTTTTGAATATTCAATAAAGACTTGAAGGAAGACTGGAACTAGAAACTAGAATGACTGGGTGCTCCCTCCAAATGTGGGATCACCTGCCAGAACACTGCCTAAAAAAGCCTGCACAATTAAAAACTTCAGTAGTCATTTTGGCAGCCCCAGATTAAAATCAATACTCTATTTAACCTTTAATACTATATTTAACAAATGTTTCCCAAGCATTTTAAAGTAATGCAATGTATTTGTAACTTATTATTAGGGCCAGCTATGACTGTGTGCCACAATTTTAGCTTTAAAAATCTATTTTTGTTACGAGTCTTTCTGACTTTTTTTTTTTTTTTTACTTTTTAGAGCCCCTTTCATAAGCACGCTCCTGACGAATTTCCTAAAACTTTTGTTTAACCTCTTAGGTGTTGAAACATGGTCTGTTTCAACAACCAAAAGCTATAAATTTTTGTTAACAACTTTCTGAAAACAGTGGAAATAAACACTCTAGGAAAATGTACTGCTGCTGGCACTGTCTCAGTGCTTATTTCAATTGCCAGCAAATTAGGACGAAAGGAATGGCAGTGGTGGAGAGGAGAAATATGCTGGAAGTATGTCTAGAGAATTTTCAAGTCTAATAAAGACTGAACATTAGAGTTGATCTTAAGGAAAGAAGAGATTTGAGTTCCATACAAAACTGTTTTGTCAGTGAGCAGTGAGCTTATTAAGTGTCGCTTTAGTCTCCATAAATAGAAAACAGGACAGAACAGTTGCAACGTTCATTCAAAGTCACACAGCTGTTGTGTGATAATCACTATTTTCCTTTTCATGTCTTTAATAAAGATCTCTTGGTCAGATGTACACACATGGAAAAAATCTTCCCTTTTGCCACAGTTGCATCAAAATACATTGATGTCCAAACATTTCAAAAGCAGTGTTCTCTTTGGAGCAGGGAATGAAAGAGAATCTTGCATTCAGTTTCCAGACAGTCGGCAGAACAAGACTGTTCTAGTGATTTTCAGTGGGAATTTTGAGACAAAACTCAGATTCCCTTCCTACCCACCAGAATGTTTATTTCAAAGAACACATCAGTGATGTTTTGAGAACAGAGGTGGTGGCAGCTCCTGTGTGAAGGGTTAAGTCTGTGCTACATAACAGAGAAGTAGATAGTGGCCAAGGAAACTCTTAAACCAAAGAATGTTTATTCAGGTCTGGTGGGAAAGGGGTGCTGTCCAGCACTAGCAGAGCAGAGGTAGAGTGTTGAAACTCAGATTCCATTAGTAGCTAAGGAACTGCATCCCCCTTTTTGTGCTGGTTTCAGAGGGGGATGAGCTGGTGGTGCCTGAGACGTCAGACAACAGCCGGAAGCAGATGGTGCGGAACATCAACAACAAGCGGCGCTACTCCTTCCGCGTGCCCGAGGAGGAGAGGATGCAGCAGAGGAGGTCTGTATTCCACCTGTACTTGTCCTCTGTCCATGCCTGTAGGCCCTGATGGACACTGACTGATGCCAGGGTCGTGCTTCGTTCTTTGTGTGGCTTTCTGGAATGGCCATTCAGGTGTTCCTGTCTCTTCTCTGCCCTGTTAATCCTCAGTGTTTAACTTGTGTCAATACCAGTTTGGATATGGATTTGCACTGGATGCACAATTAGTTCAGATGAATTGTGTGAAGCAGCTGTAATTTGGAATGCATGCCTCCACTTACTGTATGCAGGTGCATAGGTGTGCACATACCCTGTGTGTATATAAAGCTCTCCAATAAACACTTTGCAAAAGGAGATGACTTTGCTAACTATGCATATGGATCAATTGCTCTCAGACTCTGGTTCTGCTTTTCTTTCTGAAGGAGACTTTCCTCTCAGCAGTATTCCAGGACATCTGTTTCTTTGATTTATAGATTCAACTACATAGAGTTTCTATAAAGCTCACAAAACTCACCTCTTCAGGGGACACAGGACTGCAGGGTGTATTTCTAATGGGAGTGTTCAGCAGGTTACAAATACTTTCCTAAAAGGCAACAAAAACAGGTCTGCACTAAGGGCAGTGTTTGCAGAGGATGTTATTGACCATTTGCTGTCACTCACTAGAAGTGACCTGCTACTGTGCTAAGCCACACTCCAAGAGCTGAGTATTTCACTTCCTAATTTCCAGCATCTTGCGCCATTGGTTGGCTCCCAGTTTGTCTTTTTGGCTCTAAGTAACAACTGTAACAACTGTATGCAGTGAAGATAAAATTCCATTTCTTGTTCTTGCCTTTTCTGAGTTGATTGACATTTGGTCTCTTCAAAATTTTATTTATTCTGAGTTCTGAAATGCATCCTTGCCATTTTGAAGAGCTTTTAATTCTGACCACAGACTGAGAAAGGTACTGCAGTATTATTTTAATTTAATTTTCATACTTTATACATCATTTTCACCTCCACTTTGTAATATATCACAAGTAAGTTTGGCTTTTACTCATCTTACAGAGCTTTTTATCAGCTCATTCTGTGAATGTTAGTAACTACTGGGCATGGGCTGTTAAGCTGCAAACATCATTCTTTTATCCTGGCCCCTTGCCTTCTCTTCAAGCTGGAACCTTCTCCACACCAGTACTGACAGCAGGGATTTATCAATGTTTACATGGTTAAATAGAGTCATAGACTCATGGAGTTGTTTAGGTTGGAAAAGACTGGGTAATTTCCATTTGAAAATAGCTGATAATCAAAGCTGTACATGTTTTATAAATGCCCATACTCACCTCAAAGGAAATACCTAAACAAAGTATCTTCTCTTCCAGGGAGATGCTACGTGATCCAGAAATGAGAAATAAGTTAATTTCTAACCCAACTAATTTTAACCACATAGCACATATGGGTCCAGGAGATGGCATACAGATTCTCAAAGACCTCCCAATGGTAAGTACAAAAGGACATGTGAGAGTGACTGACTGCTGCAGAGGCTGCAAATAAGTGAGAGAAAAACAAGTGCAATTTTAATGTGTAATCAGTGACATATTTCCTATCAGGAACAGTGTAACGAGGGGAATGGAGTAAAAATGCTCTGCTGTATGTAATGAAATTTAAGCAAGGAGCATGACAAGCACTGAGTAGAGGAGGAGGAAGTGGAGTGCCTAATGCCAGGTTGGCCTCACAGTGTTGATGATAATTTTTATGACCCGTATGAAGGTGCAAAATTTACATGATTTGTGCTCTTTGTGGGTATGGAAAAAGAAATTCCCTTCTCGGTGAACTGGAGTTCAATTCCTTTTTTCTCCTCCCATTTTTAGCACCAACTTTGCCTATTTCTTCACAGCCTGTTTTCCTGTAGCAATTCAATGATGTGTACTGCTCAAATTTCTTCCCATGCCAAGTGCTATCTTTCCTGTTCTCTCCAAATTAAGTAGTCTCAGTGAAACAGAACTTCTTGCATAAAAACGAAGCTTTTAAATTGAAAAATGGAAAAAGAAAATGTGCAATAGCACATGTTCATTTCCATAAGATCTCATGTAGGAAGTAATCACTTGGAAGTTGCTGAAATCTGTGATGAGCTAAAGACTAATTAATACTTGCTCATAAGAAAGTACTGTGCTGCTTGCTTCAAGCTACCTTGAGCATCTTTTGTGTCTTTATGTGTTCTGTATTGTTTTCTAAGTACATCCACAATGACACAGATGTGATTCAGAAGATGCTAATTAGCACTGTAAGAAAGATGAGATGTTATGATAAAAACAGATGAAATTTGTTCCAGCATAAGACTCAGGCATTAGCACAGAACTGCTGTCTAAAATTATTATCATTGGTACTACTTGGAGTTTGTGCAGAAAACAGGAAGTAGATGCTGAAAAGTGCAAAGGAAACAAAAATAAGACTGGAAAATAAAGCTCAACATGCAGTTGCATGAGTTTAGGAGCCTAATCTCTGGTCATTGGATGCTCATTTTACCTCACTTTGGAAGGAAATGGTATTTTTATGTTGAACTTGACTGTAAAGTCTTCACTTTGATTTATTTTAAAGCTCGTATTAGACACACTTTGAGAAGCCTCTCAATAACAAATAGTTTTGGTGTAATGAGAAAAAAACAGTACTGGATTGTGTGTATTTTTATAAATGAACACATAATGAAGGAACTGTTTCTAGAAAACACATGACAAATCCAAGAGATGTTGGCAGGTATGTCTCACCTGGATACAGGATTGCATGTGTCTCATGTTAGACAGAGAATGATCATTTGCTTCAGGGCAGGATGTAGATCAAAGCCTTTCTTCATTTCTCCATCTCTGGTAAGTTCTTTAAAATATTTGTGGCTCTTCTCAAGCAGAGAAAATAATCTGCTACCTCTATAGGTAGAGCAGAAGTATTCCTGTGTCACACCATCAGTATTTGAAAGTTCATGGCACTCAAAAGCTGCAGGGACTCTTAATCAAGCCCCACATCTCACAAATGTAAAACAAAGAATGATTCTATCTATAGAAGGGGATTTTACATAATTTCTTCAACAATGTCATCTCTCAATGGCTTTCAGCTTTGAACCCTTTCTAATTGCACTTGCCTTGTGTTAGCTCACAGGTCCTGTTTCAGGTTAGGACTGGTACTGTGCTATTGCAAATCAATATGATGCTTTGAAAATAATTCATGGGTCACTTCCCACACTTAAAAGTGATGAGAAGAATTAAAAAATGTGTACAATGTTGATTCCTGCACTTGTTCCACTGCTGCAGCTTCTTTTTAAAAAGTTATTATTAAAACCTCCTTTTTTGCAAGTAAGTATCAGTCTTAATGCTGGGAGATGTTGCTGCAAGACAAAGAAAATCTGTTGTGTATTTTTCCATCAGTTCCTTGCAATGTCATGTTGTATTTGTATTCTTCACTTAATTGGTACAGAATTGCATCAAGCACGGGACTTGAAAGTGTGTGAATTTGAAAATGTAACTTGAAATTAGGAAATAAATGTTCTGTCAAGAGCAACTTCAGTCCAGGCAGCTTTTTCTTTTCCAACAGTTTCCTGTAAGGCATTTGCCTGGACTGAGTTTCCATTTAATACATTCCACACTAAGAACTTTGTTTCTCAGGCGCAGAAATAGAAGAAAAGGAGTTGTGTGGGCATTTGAGGTTATGTATAGAGTCTAATGTTTTACTGGAAGGAAATTTAGAACGAGAAGAGGGCATGGAAACAAAGGATGTTTCCTGGAGAATCAGTACACAAGGTAAAGAATAATCATCCAACCCTGTGTACAGTTTATCTGTATGGTGGTTCCTTTTCCAGGACATGGAATTATTTCACCAGTTTCATACCTTATTCCCAAAAGGTGGAAAACTGGGGGGTTTCTGTGCTGCTGAGTGTGTGTCCTGAGTCTGCAGCTGGAACATGTCCTCTGTATTTTTTAATAGATTAGTGTGGTTCAGAAGAGAAAGTATTTATTTTTAACAAACTTTGGGAAAATTTGCAGCACTTTACTTTGGGAATGCCTGTTCTTGTTTGTGGAAGTGAATGGTAAAATGCATTTTTGGGGCTGAGACTGGGGGTAGCAAGCAGTGCAAGGCTAATACTCAGTCTTCTCAAATTCTCTTCCTCCAGCTATTTTAGGTAGTACAACTTTTTTTTTTTTTTAATGGAGTACTGGAATGCAGAAAGTGCATGAGAGAGTGGAGTGGGACTTTTCATTTGCAGTTTCTTCTGCTTTATTTGAGCACCTTCACATTTGGTTGGATCTACCAATAGAAATGTTTCACCCAGCATTGAGCTTTCACAGAAGTCAATATAGTGCTGTATGGGCAAAAGGGTCCTTAGGTAGAAATAGGTTTTAATAGAGAATAGATATTTTAATCTCTGTGTTGAATGAGATTGTCACAAGCTAAATAACCAGCTCAGCCCAGCTTTTATCTAGCACACATGGGTGAACTTTATAAAGCAAATTACAGTTTTAGGTATATGTATGTGTTTATATTTATTCATTAATATACACATATTCACTTCATAGATGCAGTGTGAATCAGAAAAAAACTAACCACTTCAGCCTCACTGCCTTTTTTAGGGGATATGCCAAGAACTGAGAGAAGCAGAGTTAGGATTGGTAGTGATGGCCCTTGATGGGTGGCTGGGCTGTGTCTGTGGGCAGCAGGGGACCTGCACTTGTGCTGCTCTAAGCCTGGCCTGGTGGATGCAGAGCCTGCTTGCTCTCTGCCCACCACTGTCTTAATGGTGTCTTTTAAAAGACCAGCTGTAGAGAGTTTAATTTGTGTTGTAACTGGAATAGAGGGAGTGTTCAAACCCTTTTGCATTATTTGTTGTGTTGAATCAGGTGCCTGTTTGTGTACATATTCACCTGTTTGTTTGCCCTTGCTGGTGCAGCCACATGGGGGAGAAAGATGCTTTCTCTGTGTGTTGTTTTGCAGTGTTTTCCAGTTTTCTTGGTATGCACCAGACACTCTGATGTGTTTGTGGAAGTTGCAGTCTGTTGGCCTAGTCCCACATTGTTCTTTCCATGAACAGACACCCTTGACTTCAGTAGAGCCCTGGAATTTGGGCAGAACCATGGCCAAGGCTCAGAGGGACATCAGATTTAGGGGGTTTCAGGCAACTGTAAATCTGCATCCTTCTTTCCTTCATGGTGAGCACTCATGGTCTGGCTTTGGCACCCAAATTTGTGGGCTGCAACACACCAGAAGCTGTTGTTTCCTATTAGCAGAGCAGTAATCAGTACATATTTGTGTTTTATTGCTGTGGATCTGGGTCATTGTCTTGTTTTGTACAATTTGGAATGGTTCCTGTTAGTGTATCCCCAAACTTATTTGTTTACATGTTTTTCTTCCCTAGCAGCCTGTCACCAATTAACCTGGCCGTACAGTCTGGCCTCCCTTCTGCCCTCTTGTCCCTTGAAGCCACTTTATCGTGGATGCTCCTTTGTAGTGAAGATCTGAAATCTGGAACTGCACTTACTGCAGCACAGACCACCTCTCTGTGTACATCAGATGTACAGGATTGATTTTGCTTTCATATTCTGCATGCCTAAGTATTTTTATATACAAAAGCTGGTCTTGACTGCCATTATATTTGAACATTATGCTTCAGTTTGACCTCATTATACATGAGCCATTCTACTTCCATTCTAGATGATGTGTGAAGCTTTGCTTGTTTCAATTGAGAAACTTTTAAAGTAAATGAATACTTATCTATATTTGGTATTCTTTAAAGAAAATGGGAACCCCATGCATGCATCTAATGGTGGAGTCTATGGAGAAAGTTCCATGGAGTATCATTTTTAAAATGTTGCCATATCGTGGCTTTCTCACATTCATGAATGCTGGCTAAGTATTTCCATGATCTGCAGCTGGCCTACCCTCTGCTTTTAGCTTGTGGTTTTAGACACTGCCATATCTCCCTTATTGGCTTTTAGGAATGTAGCTGGCTTTGCTACCAGTTCTCTGCAGAGAACTCAGCAAAGTCTGCTGTCCTGGACCATTTTGGAATGGTGGCTTCTTGTACTGATATTTAGATGCTGCTAAAGTTACTAAGAGCAATTTAATGTATATTATGTCTTATATGCCATAATGTGGTAATTGATGTTTTGGTTAACAGGCAAAGCCTCATAATAACCATGTGTTTTAAAAAAAAAAAAAGTTGGATTTTACCAGCTGAAATGAAGAGAACAGTAACAATAATGTTTGATATAATATGTATTGGGATGTGACTTAATGTTCTTCCAGACTTTAATACGTTCCACATACAAAAAGTAGTGCCTTAGGTTTAGTGGAGGGGTAAGCTATATTTTTACCATATTTTATATTTTAAGTCTTAACATTTCTAGTATTACTCAGAAATACCTGTTTTAAGGAGATGAAATCAGTTGGACGAGGGGAAGAGGAACTTAGAAAGGAGAAAAGGTGTTGTGATTTACTGGTATCCATAGGAAACCAGCCCACTGCAGGCTGACTGAGCATGTGCAGACGGCACAGGGAGGGAAACCAAGCCTTGAAAATCTCTTCCATTAAATCTGGATTTAGATGGCTTTCAATGATACGAGCACTTGGGTCAGCACATTCCATAGAGATGAATTAGAAAGTGTTCCTGTTCAGTTTGCAGGGTTTATTTCTCCCCTCTCCTTCTTTACATCACGCTGTGGGAGCACACTGCTCAGCTGACCTATTACAAACATTTGAATTTCCCAATGTTTTCACACTTCATGTGCTGAGGAAGGGCCTGATCCTCTGCAGGGATGGCAGTGCTGGCTCCCCTTGGCACTGTCAGGATTGAGCCAGTGTGGAGCAGTGTAGTAAAAACAGGGTGACTCCAACTCTGGGAATGATTGGCATCTGACTCCATTGATTCAGAAAGCTGAACAATTGCTTTATTAAAACTATAATATATCACATTATACTATGCTATATTAAAGAGATACTATACTACTATACAAAAGATACATGCTAAAGAAAACTCGTGACTGTCTCCAGACAGCCAGGACACAGCTTTGAGCCAATTGGCCAAGAAATCAAAACAATCCTCAGCAGAATCCAATTGACAAATCACAATCTCCCTAACACATTCCACATGTGCAAAAACAACAGGAGCAGCAAGTAGAGATAAGAATTGTTTTCTTCTCTCTGTGCTTCTCCAGGAAAAGTCCTGTGTGAGAGAATTATGTCTCTCTCTGCTCAGAGAATGTGAGTGCAACAGAGCAGGACATGGGCCTTGGTCACCTGTCAGCAGAGAGACTTGTCCCAGTGGTCTGACACTAACCCCTTCACCTTCCCACACAGCCTGTGTCCCCACCCTGTGGAAACACTGTTCCTCCCACTGCTGGAAATACTCTGTGTTTGTTGTACGGGTGATGATTTTAATGGAATCACTAAATTGCATGAATAACAGAAGGAAATCTCTTAACAGTCTCTAACTGCTGTGTATGCTCATCTTTTCTTCTCCCCACACCACCTCACCTGTGTTCACCTTCCTTTGTTTGTGTTATGTCTATTTTAGATTGTAAGCTCCTCAAGGCAGGGAACTGATACTTCTCAACTGTCTGTAAAGCACCTTTTACAACTGTGGTGCTCTTTGAAATATCAAAAAATAATAAATATTAGAATCGATTCCCAATGAGTTAAAAGTTTTATTTGTTTCTAATGTTTTAGCCAACAGCAAGGGCTGCAGCCCATCAGACTCTGTGTCAGGAAGGTGCTCAGAGCACTGGGGGTGGCAGTGTCAGCCCCTGTGTGCTGCCAGCCAGCAGGGTTTGCTGTCTGCTGTCCCTGCTCTGTGTCTCACTGCTCTTGTGGAACTGCTGGTGCCGGTGTAACCTGTACAACCATCCTTCATTGCTTTCTCTCTCTGTTGTCTTTGATAGCAGCGTTCCCCTTATCAATTCCCTCATCATCACTCCCGTCTGATCTCCTCTCCGAGCAACTTTGAGCACATCTACCACATGACTGTTAATTCAGCTGAAAAATTCCTCTCTTACGATTCCATACACCCTGCATTTTCCCCGCCTCCACGCTCTGTCCTCGGTACTCCAGATTTTGTCACTCTAAGGGTATGAATGGCTGAGTCAGGTGTTCACTCTACTAACACTGTGTGGTTTTCCTTTTGCCTGGCTATTAACGTGGGAGAAAACCCCTTGTAAGCTGTTCCTTCACCCCTCCATTTCCTTTTGTCCCAGACAATTTACTTTCTGCTATCAGCTGGGGTCTTCCCACAGCTCTGACAAGAAACAGACACTTCATGGCCTTAGGAAAAAAAAAGATGAGTTTGGGGCTGAACCTTTTTCTATGAGAATAAAATTTTTAATCAGCAGGAAGGATGTGGGAATTTTGAATGAGAACTACTCTGTTCCCCAGTGTTCATCCTCCAGCAGTCACAGTGCTGCATACCAGGTTGAATTAGGAAGAGGTTCTGGATCTGTCTATGTTGGACCAAGTTTTCAGGCTGTTTGTTTATGATGAATTCATGTGGAATGTGAGAATTTGTGCACTGTACTGGACACTGATGGAAAGGGACAGACACAACTAGTGACTCAGGCAGTTTCTAGGTTAAAGTAAATAAGTTAAATTAGAACATGTAGAAACAGGATAAAAATTAAAGATGGTGACAACTTGCTGATGTAGATCCTCTTAACCCTGGTAGTTTTAGGAAGAAACTGAGGTAGGATGCTGTTCTTTAGGCATCCTTCCAGTTGCAATGTAGATTGGAGGGATGGAAGTGGTCTTCCCTTTTTTTTCTTGCATTGTGCATCCAGGTCTGCCTGCCTGGGGTTTGCTGTGTCCTGTAGAAATCCAAACCAGAGTGAAGCAGGCACACAGGTACCTGCAGTGCATCACAGCTGTGTACCATGCTGGGGCCTGCAGCTCTGCCTGGGACAGATAAATCAGGAATAACCTGTAGGTAGATGTGTGTGATGCTGTTGTTTGCTCAGGGTTTGTGTGGGTCCAGGCCATGCCCATTGCTGTCATGGGAACGTTGCTCTTGGTTTCTGGCAAACCTTCACTGCCAGGCTGCTTCCAGTGCCTCTGGGCTGCCCTGCTGGAGCCCTGTCACTGGGAAGGTTTTGGAAACATATCTGCATCCAACACTTGACTGAATTGAAAAATGCAGGAGGAAAATAAATCTTCTCCTTATGGCTCCAAAACCAATTTGCACAGCTGAGCTTTGACTGGTTACATGCATGGTCATGTGTCACTGCTGTGAGTCCCAGTTGTCACAGCCATTAACACACGAGAGGAATGCTCTGTTGAAATGCAAAAAAAATACTGTTAAGTTGAATTGAAAGCTGTTTCTCTCCTAGAGGGTCATTATAGGGTCACTGAAGCTGTATTTCAGTTCTGGTTGTGACAGGCTTGTTTTAATCCAACTGTGCTATAAAATTGTCTGTGTTTAACATGCAGTGATGTGTCACCGGACTGTGACCCTCCCTCTACCTTCCCTTTCTCATGTGAGTAGTCTCCCTGGGATCAGTAAGGAATGACCCCTGGTGCTTTAGACAGTAACTCTCAATTTTTTTCTCTAGGAGCATCCTTCATCCTAATGTTGCAGCCTCCTAGCATAAACTGGAGGAAAAAAAAGTGAAGTGGGCAACCTGGAGTGTCAAGATCCTGCCTTGTTAGCTCCTTAGAGCACTAGAGGTTTAGTCTTGTGTGAGGAAAAGTGTTTGTCTGCTTTGGGGCATGAGGGTAGAGGTGCTGGAAGCTGTATGGAAAGCCAGGCTGTGAGTTTGGTTTCATGTCTGTCCATCCTCCCTTTGTGTTTGGAGATGTTAGTGTAAGAAGGGTGCCATGGTCCCAGGTAGGATTGGATATTGGAACCAGGACAGTGTGGAATCCATAGGAGAGTTGAAAAATGACTTGTTAAAGTAGAGTCTGTCATGTTATTTCATGGGAGAGTTGAGTTTTATAGTGTGATGAACAGAGCACTACTTTAGAACAAAACAAACCCCAAAGCAAGACCAAGCAGCACAATGGACAGAGGAACAGAAGCAGTCACTGTGGGTGCTGTACCTGTCCAGTCAGAGCCTGTCCCTCATCCCAGTGCTGCAGAAGGTCCCCAGGGAGCTGGAGCAGGAGCAGAGGCTCTGTAACCCTGGCACTGATTGCACCCACAACTCCACTCTCCAGCTGGAATGGGATGCACCCAAATAATCTGGGCCTCTCACCCTGTTTCACAGTGATTCACTGTGCTCAGCAGCAGCTTCTCTGCTGCTGCTTTTCCCCCACTTCTTTCATCTTTCTCCATCTGCTCCAGCAGTGGGGATGAATTTTCCTGCTAGGATTTGAATTGTTGCTCGAAATGAGGGGTTTTTGTCTCTCTAAAGCAAGCTCAGGTTTCCTTTTGTTTTCTGTGTTTTTAACCTGCTGCCTTGTGCTGCTTTATAACTACCGCTAATAACCGCTGTTTATTTTCCTTTGAATCCCCTTCCTGCATCATGTGCACACCACTTCCAGGAGGTTTGGTCCAAAATGCCAGCAGCCCTGGCATGTGCTTATTTTATTTTTAGAACAAAGAACGATGAAAGATTTGCTTGTGGAGAGACTTCCAACAAGGAATTACATGGACGTTGCGAACTGAGGGCATGAAAAATAATCATCTTTAGAGCACAGTCTTAAAACAAATGAGTCTTTTTTTGTGCACCCATGCATTCCCTCCTTCCCCTGGTACCTGAATGTTGCCTGCTCAGTCACTGTGAAGGAGGTTAATCACCTTATCATTAAACAGAATTGTTCTCTTTGCAAAATGAACCTCTGTAGGTTTATACCAGCCTTGCAGCCCCAGTGTACTAAGCCAGTGCTGCACTTGGCTTTCCTTTCTTTCTCAAAACACAGCAGTAACTCATCCCTCAGTGCCTCAGTTCCTCTCTGTATGGTCAGGGGAATGACCCTCCATGGTTTAGGTACAGCCAGGATGCTCAAACTCTGCATCTCAGTTTGTCACGTGGGAAAAATGCAGCAGCTCAGTATTTTGTACTGCAAAGTAGGTTGGTTATTAAAAAACAAAAAAGAAGGGGGGAAGCTAAGCAAGAGACAGCGATAGTATCCCACAAATAATTTAAGAGACTGTTTCAAGCCTTTAGGTATAAATCCTCATGGTGCAGCAGTGGAAGAAGGGAGAAGTAAAAAGAGCTTTTTCATTGGTAAGGTCTCTGATTCTCTTTTGCTGGTGTTTGTGAGAGATCTGGGAACAGATGAGAGATTTTAATTCTTATTTGCTGCACATTAAAAATCACCCATTTCTGGCACCCTGGGAGAATGAAAAGCCAAGGGTTGCCTGTAATATCAAAGGGGCCTGTCAGAGCAATGATTCCAAGGATCATTGTAAGACTGGATTTGGCAGCAGGTTGGTAAAATTTATCTGATGAGGTCTGACCTGTATGAAATCTGTTTCTTACACAGCCTCAATTTAATTATCCTTTTTAAAATACAGATAGAGACATGGGTAGTACCAAGGTTCTCTGAGAATATCCTTGTGGGGTAGAGTCTTTGTTCTGATCTGAAATTTTCATTAACGCCCTAGTTTAAAGAAGCACTGCACTTGCAACTATTGTTTTATATATGGCTACTCTTCTCAGTGTGAGGATGGGGAAATAATAAAATGCAAATAGGAAGAAACAGTTACTGCAGAGGGGGGGCTGTAGAGGGTAAAGTAAGTAATTCTTAGAGCTACCTGCATTTCTTTCACATTGTGCATCTATGAAGATTCCCTGAACCTAATCCCAGTTAATGGTATTGGCTTAATAGTGCAAATCACACTCTATTGATGAGCAGGACAAGGTCTCACATTTAGCCAGAGCTGAAATGACACACATGGGCAAGTAAGCCAGCTCATACACAGAGAGAGGGGCTAAGTAATCTGAGAGGTCTTCTCCCCTAAGGTCAGCTGTAGGTTAACAGAAGCAGAAATAAAATCTCCCAGAACTCACTTCAAAGTACTCTTTCACCTTCTTTTAGAGACAACTTATGTTTGGGAAACTGCTGTATCTAGGAAAGTTATGGTTTATCTCCTCTGTAAAGGACCACTTCAGTCCAGTAACTGATTAGTTTAGAAAATCACACTAGAACTCTCAGGATTCAAAACAGGAGCAATAATTAAAATATGTAGAAAAACAGTGGCATGTGCTCTGGTCCTCCTCTTTGTGCAGGCTGGAAACAGGAGGCTGCTTCTCACTTTGGCTCAGCTAGTGTAGGTTTGGAGGGATGCTGTTAACACCTTTGGAATTTCATAAGTAATTGCTATACAGATTGATCCACTATCTATTAATAACTCTGCAAGCATTAGGGATTAACCTGGATATTGTATCAACTTACACAATCATGGCACAGACGATGGCATCAAAGAGAAATTGTAATTAGATCCTTGGAAGCTTGTGTTCAGAAAAAAGGCCTTATGCAGTGTGATTTGAATATATCTACAGCAGCTTAATTAGGCTTGCAAGCCATCCTTTCAGGGAAATTCTGGGATTATTCCGTGTATTCTTTCAGTTCCCTGCATATGTCCATGTAATTCAGCACTTGACTGCCGCGTTGCGTGTGCTGCCAGTCTCTGCACTAAACTGCAGAATATTATTTTGCAATTTTTGCTGACTTGCTGCCCAGATACTCAGCTCTGGTAAGGTCGGGGCTTTCCTGTGTTTTGGGGCCTTACAAGACAGAACTGCACGGTTGAGGCAGCGGTGGATAAGTGACTGTGTGATGTGTGTGTGCGTTTCAGAACCTGCGGCCCCAGGAGAGCCGGACGGTGTTCAGCGGCTCCGTCAGCATCCCGTCGATCACCAAATCCCGCACGGAGCCGGGACGCTCCATGAGCGCTAGCAGCGGCTTGGCAGCACGTAAGTAAACAGAGCTCTCTTATTCTGGGGGCTGGGCACAAGGGTTTCAGGGAAAGGGCTGCCTGCAGATCCTTCTGTCCACGCTGGATGAGGATTTTCCCAAGTGATGGCTGACTGTGTTGCTGCCAAGGGCCAGCAGAGCATTTTAGTCTTGCTTTCAAAGGAGCACGTGAATAAGCAGGTAGTGCTTTTGAGAGTCCCACACTCGTAATTGGTCAAGTTTTTTTCAATTGATGTTAGAATTCAAATTACATTCTTAGCCCTGGGACTGTTTTGCTCCTGCTCAAGTGTTTTAAATCAGTGACAAATTGTTCACAAGCTCCATTGTGGTGGTGTTCACAGGGGTCCCAGGACGAGAAAAGAGATGAGAATCTTGACTCCATGTTTCAGAAGGCTGATTTATTATTTTATTATATATATTATATTAAAAGAAAATGATATATTAAAACTATACTAAAGAATAGAAGAAAGGATTTCATCAGAAGGCTTGAAGGGAATAGAAAGGAATGATAATAAAATCTTGTGACTGACCAGAGAGTCCGAGACAGCTGGACTGTGATTTGCCATTAATTAAAAACAACCACATGAGACCAATCAAAGATGCACCTGTTGCATTCCACAGCAGCAGATAACCATTGTTTACATTTTCTTCCTGAGGCCTCTCAGCTTCTCAGGAGAAAAGATCCTAGCAAAAGTATTTTTCATAAAATATGTCCGTGACACTCCATGGTTGTTAATTTTGTTGCTGAGCTGTGTGTAGCTCTTGATGCCTCTCTTGCCTCTATTGCAAAGATAAAAAAGACTGGACATGGCACTTGATGCTATAGTCTGGTTGAGGTGTTAGGGCATAGGTTGGACTCGATGATCTCAGAGGTCTCTTCCAACCTCGTTATTCTGTGATTCTGTGATTCTCTGTCTGTAACACAGCTTGATCCCTGTGTTGCAGGATCGTCGGCACAGAACGGCAGCGCTTTGCGCAGGGAATTCTCGGGAGGGAGCTACGGAGCGAAGCGCCAGCCCATGGCATCGCCCTCGGACGGGTCCCTGTCCTCAGGGGGGCTGGACCAGGGCAGTGATGCTCCCACAAGGGACTACGAGCGAGAGGTGAGTGGCTGCACCAGGAGGGGGAACCTTTCAGGTGTGGATAAAGGTGAGGCACTTCAATCCTCTCCTGGGGTTGGCTACAAGTTTGGGAGTCATTGACAGTGGAGAGATGGATTTCCTGTATTTCAAGCTACAAAAGGCTTTGGCCAAAGTGTCAGCTCTGGTGCAGGTATTTAGGTTGCAGAAAAAGCTCTGCGAGTTCCTTAGCTGGAGATGTGTGGATAGCGAGGCTCCCCGAAACACAGACCCAGAAGAGTAACAGCCTGATCGTGGCATATCACAGCTTGAAGTGTTGATATTCCTTTTGGCCTTTATGTGCAAAGATTCATAAGCTATCTTAGCAACCACTTCACAGGAGACACTTTGTACTCAGAAGTTAACAAGGCAATTTAAGAATTATAATTTTGTTTAGAGCAGGAAAATGATTTAATAATTTCTATTCAGTGCAGTCAAGACTATCATTATGATAGGACTGAAATCCTGCCCAGTGCTAAACTCAGTCCCTCCAGCCAAAATTGTTTTACATAGGAGGGTTCAATCTGACACTGGCCTACAAAACTTCCCCAACCCATTTTCTTACCAAGGAGTGTGAAAATAAGAGATCACACAGGCTTTTCATGATACTGGATATATCCTGCCAGTGTAAGCTGAAAGGCAGCTGTCAGTTCAACTTCAGGCTCAGAATTGCATTCTCCTGTGCTCTGGAAGATCCAAGTAACTCGATAGGATGTTTGAACTGATACCCTGGGGCTGACATAGAAGAGGAAGCTGTGATGAAGCCACAAAATTTCTCATTTTAGTGCAGGAGCATCTTGATCATAATCTGTGAAAATGCAGGAGCTGTTGTAGCTGCACACTCTGCTGGCCAAGCAGCCCTTGGCAACACACAGACTGCCAGAATCCCACTGGTGCTTTGTCCTTATGTCAGTATCACTTATGCCTGCTGAAAGCAGAGTGACCTGACCATTTAATCTCAGGTCTCCTTGGAAATTGCGAGCAAAAAGGATCCCTCAGTATTTTTGGACACAAGCAAAATCCGCAGAGGCCTTTGAATCCAGCCACTGTTGCTGGACACTCTGTGACCCCCAGAGTTGCTGTCCTGTTACTTACTGGTGTTCCTGTGTGTCTCTGGGCTGCAGGACTCTGACTCTCCGAGACACTCGACGGCATCGAACAGCTCCAACCTCAGCAGCCCTCCCAGCCCGGTTTCTCCTCACAAGACCAAGAGCCTCTCCCTGGAGAGCTCTGACCACGTGAGTTGGGACTCATGAACTGCTTCAGCATTCAGATATGGCATCACATCAGCTTGCTGTCCCCATGGCTGTCCCCTTCACTTGCTCCAGTTCTCACCTTCATCCTCCTAACCCTCCCCATTCCCTGTCGGAAAAGGATCTGGGAGTGGGGTACAGAGGAAGGTAAAAGCTGGTCGCCTTCAGCACCGTTCAGCATTGCCTCACCTCCCCAGATCTGACAGCAGCAAATGAGCAAAGCTAGGGTGTTGGTAAATATCAGATGCTGTAGATTTGTATTAGTAATGGTTTCATTTTTGTGGTTACAGCTGCTTCATTTTTAAAGACATATTTATCCCACTCCCCTTCCACTTCCCAAAAGGTAGCATAAGTAGACCAGACCAGTGTCAACAAGAGAAAATTCAGAGGGATTTTGTTTTCATACAATAGCTCATTGTACTGTACAAAAGTAGCACAGAGACCCCTTCCCCACCATGGGGAATGATCAGTATGTCAGAGGCACATAAAAGCTTTCAGCCACCACGTTTGAATGTCAATCTGATTGTCGCCAGCAAATCCTTATTGATTAAAATGATGCATATTTTACTACAGTACAGAGTTTAAATAAATACGCAGATGTTAGAGTAAAATACGTATGTATATATTCAAAGAAAAAAAGCATTGTGTATGCAGCAGAAGATGGATGCTTATTTAAGAGAGCCTTTAATTTAAGATTTGTGTTGTCCCTGTTTTCATGCTCGGTGATTTACAGACTCGGAGGCCTGGCTAAAACCTCCGGCAGGACAGAGATTCCGTGTGCTCGCGGCACTGCCCCTGCAGTGCTCTCACTACACTTCTCTCCTTCTGGCCTTCAGTAGCAGAACTGAAGCTGTAATTCCTGTTTTCCTCACAGTCCCCATCCTTTTCAGAAACTACAACAGTTGGCAGCAAGGCCCTGTCCCAACAGCCAGCCACAGGCTGCCCTGGCTCCGTGCGTGCCACCTGTGAGCTGGAGCCTTGCAGCAGCTACAGGAGAGGTCCTTCAGGCAGCAAGGCAGTTCAGTGCAGCTGGATTCAGCAGGAAAACTGTTCCCCTGGGTCAGCCTTTCAGCAGGTTTAACTCAGAAGGGAGCAGTCTTCCACACCTCCTTGACCATCCCTAAACAGCAAACTCTTACAGTCATTACCAAATACTGGTTGCTAATACACATCAGCCAAACGAGTGCCCTTAGCCCAAAGCTGGCCCTGGCTGGCTTTGTTGTCACTGTAGCAACAAAGAACCTTGAAGACTGACCTCACACTGTTCACACTGTGGTAGTCAGAGACGCCTGGTGACCCGCAACTGCTGCACTGGCAAGGTTGGTTTTCCTCTGCCCCCTACCTGTGCTGTGGGTTTGTGCAATTTGCAGTTGTTTCTATGTGCTCACCTGCTGTTTGGTTCCAAAAGCAGGGCAGGTTGGAGGGCAGGAAGTATTGCAGTGGAAGGCAGAGCCTGCTGAAGCTGGAAAAATAAATAAAAAGCTGAAGTGGTCACCCAGTCAGCAGAATAAATGAGAGACTGATAGCAGATGTATGGTAAGAGGAAGATGTCTCTTCTCTTTAGTTAGCAAGGCAGATTGTGCTTTTCATTTGGGATGAGCCTCTCTTCCCAGTAGTGTTGTTGCTGACTTCATACTATGACCATACTCAAACACATAAGGGCTTTTTGTATTTAGACTATTGGGGTTTGTGGGTTTTGGAAACTTGTTATGGCTCTCATTAAACCATTCTGTGTTCTTGCAGTCAGCAGTTATGTAGAGTTTCACCCACACAGAGGTGTTTGGAGTTTTGCAGTTTCTGTCTTCCCTAATAGAAGTTGTAGGTAAGTTCAAACCATGTACAGTAATTTCCAGGTATGATCTAAATGTGACATAGGGAACAAGACACAGATCATCTAATCCATTTAATCGTGCTGGGTCTCCTAGGTAAGATTTCTCTTTCACTCTGAATCAAGAGGCTTATCCAAGTTTAAGTTCGTTCAGTGTTATTTTGGGACAGGGATTCAAGAAATTATTGTAGGAACCATCATATCAAAAGCCTGTCTCTCTCCTATTTGGGTATTTCAGAGTAGCAAGCTGCTTGTGTTGTTTGTTTTCACTTCAAACCTACTACTTTTGCAAGCCTGGCATTTGAAATTAAAAGCTTTAGCAAAGAGCAAAGCATCTGAAAGTAATTCCTCCCAGAAAAGTTTATGTATTTCTGAGGGACAGATAGGCAGGGCATTATTGGCATTATTGAAATTCCACATCAGCTTCTTTTTAAAGGCTGCATATTGCTTCAAGTATAGGCACTGCTTTTTCCCCACAATTCCCTTGTTTTGGTGAAGCATGTCCACACACTTTTCAAAGCCTTTGCAGACTAGTTTTGTATTTACTGTATGTTGTATTTAAATAATAATCTTATTTTGATGTTGAGAGAAGGCATTTAAACAGTAGTCATTAAAGACAGAGCAGCCTGCATGGCAGTCCCCTGAGAGAGGGTCACAGGATTGTTTTCCATGGACTTTATTTTTCTGCAGCTGTGCTAAAGCTCTATCTGAAAATGGAGCCTGAAGAGCCACCACTTAGCAAACATTAAATTGAGTAAACCTCTGTGTTTGCTCTGTTCCAGTGCCTGCAATCTATTGATACCAACCCCTGGCATTTTCAGGCAGAGCATAGGTCAGCTGTGTTCCAACACTAAGCTCAGAGGATGAGAGCTCCACAGGCCCACACTGTTTGTACACTACAATGCCCAAGCCTCAGCAGTCTTCTCTAGGATTTATTTAATCATTAGTTTGGTCCTGTGCATTTTTATATGTGTCTGTTCAGAAGAGAAACAGCAACTGTTCTCTCAGTTGAAAAGCAAATCATTTATTGGAAAAGAGAAAAATTGTCCTAGGGCTTCAATAGTTTTATATATTTGGGGACCATTTGGTTACAGACTCAATTTGAAACCACACTCATCTCTTTTTGTTGGTATGCATACTGCAGCTGAGCTTTCTAAAGACTCACTGGGCTAGGAAAAGTAACTTGGTCATTTGAACTGTAAGACTCTTGACTGGTATCTCCAGGGCAGTTGTCTCCTGAGGTTTGATGTTTGCTCCTTTGCACTGTAGCACTGCTTCAACTCCACATGTCGAGGGCTGCATTTTGTTCTGGGAGCAGAAACCCTTCTGACACCCTCCCCCTGAATTCCTGAGTGTGGCACATGTTCTCTGTACACAGGATGTGTTTCTAGCTGGGTTTTTTCCTTTTGGCTGAGACTGAAGGTGTTTGTTTGCATTTTTGACAGTGCTTGAACAGATGGGTTGTTGGGGTTTTGCCTTTAATTTTTTCCTCTATTTTGATGGCAACAAGGATCTGAACAGATTCAGGCAGCTACTAAGGATTCCAGGTTATAGGATGGAATAGGTTTGGCAAATAGTTTTCCCCTGCACGTGTGCACACACAGGTATGTGGTTTCCTCCCACATTTCATAAACCCAAAAGCAGGGCTACAGTCCTCTCTTCTCTCTTGCCTTTGGCCTGTAGAAGACAGCTGGTGGTTTCAAAAGAACATTCCTGAGACTGTGGTGAAATAGTTGCTTCTTTTCCCCTCCATTAATTGCTGTGGCTTGTTATGAATGAACATTTTGCCCATTTAAATGAGTTTCAAAACTGAGTCAGGAATGTTCTCTCTTTGATTTGATTCTGATAAGTTACAACCCAAGTGTGTTATTCTCAGGTACATGGCAGAGGGAAGTTAAGGGTCTTGCCATACCAAAAAAGTCCAAAAAGCATAGTTTATTTATAGAAATGTAGTTTAACTGCACCTAACTGGTTCACAGTGTGTCAGCCCTTCCAAACAGAACAGTTGGATTATTAACACAGAAACAGATTCTGGCCCTGTGCTGTTTGCATGACCAGACCCTGAATGACAGGACAAACATGCTCTTGGGTGGAAAAAAATTCCCTTTCCCATTTTATGAATGCATTAAGGGTAAAACTTACTGCAGTGCAAGTACCCCCAGCTCCTGAGCCTTAGTCTGAGAATGGAAGTGGCACATAGCAATTCCTGCTGTGGGTTCTTTTGTGAACACGAGCCCTTTCCATGGAGGAAATGGGACAACTTTTCTGCACTAACACAAAGTGTGAGCCCCCTTCTGTGCACTTTGTGTTCACAGTTTGTTTGATAAACACCCCCAGAGGCCGCTCTGCTGCAGGCTTTCCAGTCTGAATTCCAGCTCCTCTCATTCCAGCTGCAGCTCAGTACAACCTATTTTCATTCTCCATTTGAGACAGTCATCTACAGGGAAGAAATCCACAAACAAACCAGTGTTGCTATACCTGCCTTTTTATGTATGACAGTTTCATATCATTTATTTTTAAAATATGTTTTTTAGGTTTTTCATTGTAATATTATTGTACAGTTTTGCATGGCATAGATGTAATCACTTTTTTTGTTTTAGAGTATAAAAGCTGACAAGTGTGCGTGTGGGGGAAAAATTCTGCTTTTTGCCTCTTCTCACTCTTTTGTTTAATGCCCTCAATGTTGTAGGGGACATTGTAAGAGATTCTCTGCTACAGAACAATGATGTAGATTCTTTTGCACAGAAATATTTAAGGTGGAACAGTCAACAATGTAAAAATGACTTACCACCAATATTTTATGTTGGTAACACACTTAATATTAACCTACTTTGATGTACTGCAATAAAACAGGGAACTGTTAGAAATGTAGATGTTCTGTCTTTTTTCCCACCTCCCCCCATTAAGCTTTAAGGAGGAAATGGAAATGGTGCTTTTGAAGATAAAACATGCTGGTTCTAACACATTTGCACAAGTGCACAGTGGGAAGGAGTATGTGAGAAAATCTATTTCCCTTTAGCAGCTTTCAGAAAAAGCAACCAGATCTTTTTGAAAATACAAAATTAAAGTGACTGGATACTTTTCTATATTGAACTGCAGTTTTCCTGACCTTTTTCTTGGGTCAGCTGTGCTGTGATGACCTAAGAAAGAGATAGTTATGGAGTCGTAGTCAGTGGTTTTGGTGTTCCTCCTTCCTTTGTAGTTACACATCAAATATTTCAGCAGTCTAGTGTTAGAGCCTGCATTGTTTGTTAGTTCTGAGCTACCAGCATCACATTGGCCTTGATGCACTTTTAAGTACATCTCAGAATATGTGAAGTTTTGCATGTGCCCTGACCCTTTCCTGTCATCCCATCCCTCCCAAGTCAGCCTGGAATTTTTCCTGTACCACAGTGTGTTGGTACATCTTCCTCTTCATTCATTCCCCTCTTGGTGTAATGTTGGAAATGGCCTCAGCGGGCCTGGGGAAGTTTAGATTAGGTATTAGGAAAAATTTCTTCAGAGGAAGGCATGTGAAATATGGGAACAGGCTGTGCAGGGAAGTGGTGCAGTCACCATGCCTGCAAGTGTTCAAAGGATGTGGGGATGTGGCACTTAAGGACCTGGTTTAATGGTGAACAAGGCAATGCTGGGCTCAGGGTTGGTTTTGATGATCTTGGAGGTCTTTTCCAACCTCAGTGATTCTGGGGTAAATCCTGGCTTCAGTGACTCCCCCCCTGCAGCAGGAATACAGGACTGGGCTGTTAGCAGTGCCAGCCTGGGCATTCTTCCATTTCCAAATCCTCTCAGGACCAGGCACCATGATTCCCACTTCTTCCAAGGCTGCCTGACTCCTGTCCCTCTCTTTCAGTCAAAATTTGTTCACGTGGATTGAAGCCCATGGCTCATCCCACTGAGGCAGCTGCTGTAGCTCTGGGACATAGCCTGGTTCCTGTGCTCTGACTTTTCAATCAGTGCTTTATTTCTGATTTCCCAGGGGTCCAGTTGCACATCACAGCTGTGAAGGTCTTGGGAAATGGGCCTTGTAGTCAGGGATTTGGGCATTAGAAAAGCAGAAACTGATCTGCGTGTTCACCTCCTGTTCAGCTCCTCAGCATGCAGTTTCTGTTTTGATGCAGCAGCCAGGTTGACTATAGAAAGAAAGTAGGAAAATCACTGCTACCAGAGGTAGCCTGAATCTTGTTCCTTTAGAATGGAAAATCACTGTCATTCCAGAGGCAGCTTTAATCTGCAGCCTGCCCTCTTCAAAGAAGAAGTGTTTTCACTAGAGATTTTTCTAGATCCTAGAAGCTTCCTGCAGCACAGAAACAGTCACATCCTCAACCCTGCAAGCACAGTTCAAGCAAATGCAGTGCCTGGCATGGATCAAATGTTCCTGCTCACTGCACAATGTCACAACTTCTCTGACTTGAAGCCAGAGTTTCTAGCTCACGTTTTCTACAGGGCTGTTCCTCTGACATGCAATTCCTCCTGTCACAAATCTCTCTGGACCAAGCTACAGCCATTATTAATGCTTTCAGAGCATACACAAAAGGTCAGGAGAATTAGTGACCGAGGGCTCTAATTAGCTCTCCTAATAAAGCAACATCTCAGCTTCTGCAAGTTGCTACCCTCTGGCAAATGCAAAACAAACTGCACTGTTCAGCTGGATGTCATTCCTAAACCCTCTTGGGAAGGGGAATGTTTGCCAGGAGTTGAACACTCTTGCTCCAGCATGGTATACACAAGATCTGGGCTGACATGAGCAAGTGGAAAAGTGAACTGCAGTGCTCCAGCTTACTCTGCCACCTTTGCAAGGCCTCTGAACATGCTGGCCTTGAATCTTCAGTTTCAGAAAATCTGCTCTGAAGTTCACCTAATATAATTCCCTTGTCAGCTTTTTATACTTTACTTTTTAATCTTTAACATAAGCATTTAACAGCTCAAACAACTCTGCTGTTTTTACAGCTGCAAGGTCTAGAGCCAAAGGAGAAAAACTAAACAATGTCTATCAGAACTCAAAACAAGGGAAGTTACTGTAAATTTGTACACTGATAAACTGCTTGATGCAAAACTATTATTACTTCATTGAACAGCAAAGTTAACTCTTCTCAAAAGGTTAAGAATAATCTGACTGGGATTTTGAACTGAACTGCACTGCATCTTCTTCAATAAAGTCTTAAATGAAGTGGCTTACATGTTTATGGCTTTGCAATAAAGATAATACATAACCTGTTTTCCTGTTTCTCAGAGGTCACGCCTGAGACAGACCATTTATTCACTTACCTGTTCTCCCCCTCTGAAGTGTCAGCTGCCAGGATTTCACACATGCTGGAGTGTAAGATCAGGCCACCTGGGCAGTCCTGGGCTCTGTTAGCTGAGTAGGACCAGCTGAGCCTGCTGGTAAATAAACACCTGGCACTTGCCAGACAAGGACACCTGGTAAGGCACCAGGGAAGCCTCAGCTCCACCAGCCTCTCCTTCACAAGTGGAGGAAAGGCAGACAGACTTGTGTTGAGGAGGCTGCTACCAGAGCGCTTAAAACAAAGGATAATTAAAAAACAAGTAAATTACCAGGGATTTTCATGGCATGAACAGGCCTCAGCTTCTGCTGAGCTGCTGTTTATCCCCAGACCAGGACACTGCTCACCTGAGTGTCCATTCCCACACCAGAAGATGACACAGCCACAAGCAGCAGGCCCACGGCACAAGCACTTGTTTATTGACATCAGGAAGTTGTACAGGTTCAGGCTTTGTACAAAAACCTACAAAAGTCAATTTCCTAGCTTGACTCCAGGAGTTTAAAACTGTGCGTCTGGTTTGAACTGTGTGACATTTCAGCTGGATCTGCAGCTGCTCTCCAGCGGCAGGACATTTGTTTGCCTTGCTGCAAGTTCTGCCTCACAGGGAAACACACAGAGGAGGTTTTAGTCAGGAGTCCAGCAAGCAGTGGGGGTCAGAGTTGCAGCTTATCTAACTCGCCCTCAGGAAAGCTGATACCTACCAGACAGTGCAGAATCCCACTAGCTGTGCTCA